CTTGTGTAAAGACCAGCATGGCTGCTTGTCTCTCAGGGATTGCATTCTAAAAGCAGCTTCGTGTAGCTGGTGTGAAGTCCTCATCTCTGCATCTAAGCTCCAATTTCTGGATCGGGATTAGGAAATAGCAGGCGATTTCAGCAGCTTTGCCTGCGAGGCTGCCCTTTTGGGTGTTGAATGTCACCAGCTGGAAGCGGCAAACATGGAGATGAAGAGTTCCTGCTGCGAGGCAGAGCTTACGCCACTCTGCTTGAAGGCCCTGCAGTCCAATTCCTTCAGCACGCATCAATTTTGCAGCGGCCAAGGATTCGAACCCTGGCGCATGCGCCAGCACTCAAGGAGGTTGAGGTGGGATGACGCCTTGATGCAATGCCAGGGTTGCTTCAGCAGCAGCAGCAGCAGCAGTGCACCAACCCTTTCGTCCTGCTCTCCGCGGAAGGCCCTCGGCGCCAAACTGACTTCCTTGCACCACTGTGGAGTGCGCCGTCCTTGTGTGTAGCTTCAGCCGTACAACGCACCGCTCACGGAAGGCAAACGAAACGTGTCTCGATTTCATCTCCATGTGAGTCAATTGAGGTGCGCAGAGCAACTTGGAAGCTGGAAGCCTGTCGCGGTACCTCGGTGTTGCTATGAGATGTGAAAGCAGCAGAAGTGAAAGCAGCCAGAAACTCGCTTGACGTTTGTTCCAGATCCAATCTGACTTAATCTGTAGAACTGTAGACAGCGTGATGATCTGTTTGGATTGAACAGCTCTCTGAAACATGGCAGCTAGAAAGAAAGATGCTGCTGACGTACCCAGGTCGTCATGCCACTGCTAGACAAGGACGCTTGTGGTTTCCTCAAGTGTGAGCACGCACCCTCATCCGACGAGGACCATGAAGAGCTTGCTGTAGTGATCAAGCTGCAGCTGCTTCCGGAAGCCCACGGCGCAGCTTGTCCAGCAAGTAGTTGACATCCTTCAATTTTGTGGTGGCTGGAATCTGTAGTGGAAGCAGGAAGGCTTGTCTTCTGGGCTTTGTAGGAATGATTAAAGCAGGTTGGAAAGATCAAGTCAAAGAATGTTGTGCTGACAAGGTTGGGCTAGCGATGCAGCCAGAAGATGAGGAGCGCGTCACGCGATGTTCAGATCCTTCTGGTCATCGTTGCTCTAACACTACCCTGGAACATCCTCAAATAGTCGCTGTTTATTTGCTTGAGGAAGTGAAGCTGGAGCTTGAGAAGCAAATAGGCTTCTCTGCACAACGGCTGCAGCTGGCCAACGTGAGGCTCCAGATAGCAGAGACTGGGACTGCGTGAGCGGATTTTGCTGGCCATGTCAGGATGTCTTGCAGTTGCGCCAGCCTGGAATTCTCCATCATGGGTCTTCACAGAGAGCGGGCTGCGTTGCTGAAGGCTGACAAGTGCTTTGAAATGTGACCAGCGTATCCCAGAAGGTGTTAACCGAAAAATGCTCATCCCTGCAGGCGTTTTGGGAAGCGGCCAGGGGTCGCAGTGGCCTAGTCATCAAGCATTGGTCTTGCTGCGTGGTGGACGTGAAGGCAGGGTGGTGATCTTCATCTCTAAGTTTAGCCAAGCCAGTGTCACACCACTCGGCCTGAGAATTCAGCCGAGTGCTAGTCTGACAGCTAGGCTAGGCCCTAGGCTGTGTAACTTCAGCTGACGATCCTGAGTCCTCAACCTGCAGGTGGTTGCAGCTCCTCCGTGGCATGGATGCTTGGCAGGATGCCAAGCACACCTCCACTGGTACCCTTCAACGGGGTTATTGATTGGGGTTATTAATAGGGGTGATGGGAAAGAAAATGGAAACTACAGGGATTCCAGGGGTTATATAGATACAGAGGTTACATAGGGACAATGCAAGAGAAAGTGGAAACTACTTAGGGCTGAAGAGTTTGAAGAACTCCAACTGGCAGAGTGGCATCTTGGCAGGACCACCCACAAAGTGCATCTCTGAGCCAAGTGGCAAAGGTCTGCGAGAGGCGATCAAGGCCTGAGGCATAAGAAGCAGACCCTAAACCCTAAGTAGTAGATTCCATTTTCTTTTCCATTATCCCATTATCCCAATATAACCCTAAACCCAAAACCCGAAACAGTTCAGTGCTAACCCCGACCGGAGGACTACGTCCATTTGTGTCGTGCGGGGACTGCAGGCCTTGTACACAGTTTGTAAGACCTGCAGTACACATGCGGATATCTCAATCTTGCCAGGCCTTTCTGCCCCGGAGGACTACCAGCTTCGGCTGCTGAAGTACCCCGGTCTGCAGATGTCTACAGACTCACCTCAGACACCTTCAACTTGCTGGTTCTTAGTAGGTTGTTAGTAGGGAATAAGGGAATATAGTATATAGGGATTACATGAACAAGGCTTCTATTCCCATATTCCCTGCTAAGAACCAGTAGGTCAAGAGCATAGAGCAGCACAGCTGTGGCACTAGCTAGGCATATTACGATCCTCTAGAGGCATTTAGGGTTTAGGGATACTTCTTAGTAGTAAGAACTTTTAGGGACTCTATCCCTAAACCCTAAACCCCCTAATCCTAAACCCTAAAGGCCCTAAACCCCCTGGTTATAACAAAGGCACATACTGGATATCTTCAAGAAGATGGAAGCTCCTCAGCCAGGCTCCCGCTTGCAGCATGCCCTTCCAGGATGCTTACCTATATTAAAGCATATTATCATGTATTATAATCTTGTATAACTTATCATAATATATTATCATATGGTAGAATCCATAATATGCTATAATAGATTATGATCTACTATAACATATCAGCTGCCAAGAGCTGAATGCAGGCGCAGCGCAATCGCCGAAGCTTCAAATGGCCCAGCACGGTGTTGCTCCCACCTCAGATTCAAGCCGGAGAGTTCCAGGCAGCAGGATGGTAACCATAATGTATTATAACATGGTAGAACAAGCTAGAATATGCGATAACATCCTAAAATATATTACAGTATGGTATAATCTACTTTTTCATGATGAAGCAGCCTGAGGCAGCCTCACTGCTACAAAGTTTCAGCACTGCCCTTCTAGAGGCACCATCGTTTGAGACTTCACACTTTCATTCTTAGCCTGAGACATGCCTGTCCAGAAGTCCGTGTGCCTGTGTACTGTACATCTTCGACAGTTGCAAATGCTATTTGCAGGTGGTCGAAGTCCATGGCAAACTGTTGGACCAAGACGGCCAGGCCGTAAAGGAATACTTCCTCAGCCAGGTCCTGCGACAGGTTTTGCAGAAGGTTTGACGGAACTGCCAGATCGTGGAACAGGACTGGAGACCGGAAGAAATGAGGTACGCATTGCGCACCCTGACATGGGTCTCTCAGCAAAACTGTTGTTCAGTCTAGTTTTGACAATTTCTTGTATGCTTGCACGGGCCCAGTAGCAGAGCAGCAAAAAAATCTCCTGAGGTGCTTGCTTATGCCCCTTGTCGCTCATATGTTTATGGATGGCTGCATCAGCATGCAAATCTCTGGTCTGTGCTGGCTTCAGGGCCAAAAGCTCAGGACACAAACTATGCTGATGCACAGATGTCTCTGGAGCCTTTGCTGCAATGCCAGAAACACTTGCACACGTACCTCGCATGCTGCTGTCCTCAATTTACTATACTATACTATACTCACTATACCATTAGAATGATCCTTGTTCTGGAGACTCCCACAATTTTTCCCGGAATTTTCAGAAGCCCCCATCTCTTCAGTGTAGCCCCAGTATTAAGTGCTTTCCAGTCCATGTGCTCCCTGTGGGGCATGGCGACGCTGTGCCTGAAAGGAAAAATCCAGCTCTCCTTCTGCCATTCAGGCAAGGCTTTGCCTGGGGCAACCATCAGCTGGGTTGCTGTCAAGGAACTCAAATTAAGCTACTACAATTAAGAAACCCTATTATTTGCTATGCACCTGTACTATGGTAGCTTAATTAAAGCTCCTGATTGACAGCAACCCAGTCACGTGTAAACAATGACTTTCTAGGACCGAAGCTCACGGTGAAGTAGAAATGCATTGCGTGGCATGCTTGTATGAGGCGTCATGTAGTCAGCATGTGCACAAACGTACGTATCAATGTTGCTTGTTATTATGGCGGCGGCTGTTTATTTGGCACGCTTTTCGTATTTTGTGTGGAGTTAAGTATAGAGGATTAGGGCAAAAGCCCGGACGCGATTCAGGCTGCCCTTGCCAACCGAGCAGTTGGTCTTGCAGAGGCTGGGAAGACTGCTGAGAAACGGGCAAAGTACAGCTGTGCTCAAACTTTGTCGTGAGGAATGTGGCAGTTCTGATGGCATATTCTCGTGCCCAGCAACTGCTACTTGTCGCACCTTGCCAGGTCATCCGAGGCTATCGAAGGCTTTTGGTGCTCAGCTCAGCGTTAAACGTTACGCTTCATCACGCATGGAAGTAGCCTTAGCGAGAGTCCTGGAAAGCGGTCATCAGGCATGTCTTGGAGAGAAGGATCTCCTGCGCCAATGCCCCAAGTAATGGCCTGCTGAAGAGTCCACAATTCTGTTTGCAAACTATATTGACCATCTTCCAAGGTGGCATCTATCGGCCGTGCAGCGTGCTGCCTGTCTAAACATCTCTGAACAAAGAACACGGAACTCACTCAAGGAGATGTTGAAGTTCGAGTTGCAAGCGAGACAAACCAGCCAGGTTGCAAAATCTTTTGCTGGCGCTTCAATGCATTCAAGCGAAGCCATGTAGCGTTGCAACCTCAGAGACCTCATGCTGGATGTTATGCAACTTGTTGCAGCTTAAGGCAACTCTGCCTGCTTGGCTTGTGGGCACAGAGCTGTGGCAGCACAGAATACAACCATAACTTTGATGCTTCAGGCTGAAGCCAAGCTCACTAAAGCACCAAGCTGAGGACTTCCTGGCAAGTCTTGGCGGGGTTCTTCAGCATGGCGGATACCGACCTGAACTCAGAGTCTCTAATCAGTTCACCGTTTGAGAAAGCACGTTGTATGAACTCGACTGCAGAATCGTGGCTTATCATGGCTGCCTGTAGCGAGGCATGGCGTATGGGCATGCGGTGGCCCTCGTCTTTCAGGTGGCAACACAGATGACTTGTAGCCTGGCCAATAACTGGCAAGCTTGCCACACTGATGCCTCGCATCACATCGCAAGATCATATCACAGTCTTTCTTGATGGTGTTAGGACTTCAACTTCTGAGGCAAAGCCTATGTCGCAAGAATGGACTTTCCCCAGCACACGGCGACCATCTGCGAGAATGTCAACAAGCTCATGAAGGTCATGCAGCCACTCTCTGGCAGACCAAGAGCAGTCGGAAGTCGCGCTTCATGCGGATCGAAGAAGCTTTGCAAAGCTGCGCCAAGGATGTGGTCCAGTCTCAACCGGCAGAGCAATGCAAGTTGGAGCAAACCCTTGCAGAACGCAATGGACACCAGCCTGCCTGAGTGGCTGGTCGAAAAGTGTGAGCAGAGCTGTAGCTCTGCAAATCAGGCTTCGGACAAAATGGACAACGGGCTGTGCAAAGCCAAGGTTTGTTGATCTCCTCGACCGTCTCCTTCCAGCAGCGCATGCCGCTTCTGCTGCAATGCTAAAACACAGCTGCGAGCTGCTACTCATAGCACAGCATGGGATGCAGTGGGAACCAGGGTTTGAAAGGCAGGCTTTGGAATTTGGAAGATGCGAAACTTGCAAACTTCGTTCAGCGTCCACGAGCCTGAGGCGAGCAGCCCCGTGGCACCACCGGCATGGCTTAGTTATCATATCCATGCCATGTATAGCTTGTGGAGATGGATGCTCAACATTAATTTTGACAAGTGTTGTGAAGAGGTGCATTTTGAAATCGAGTTCACAAGAACCGCCACATGCGCAGGAAAAGTTGAAAGAGTGGACCCGCACGCCATCGGACAACATCAGAGTCATCCACGACTTGATGAGCATCCCGTATGCATCAGGTGGAGAATCAAAAAGAAGCCAACGCTCTCCTTTCCTTACGCGGAGTAGTTACTCAGACTAGGCTTGGTGGCTAAGCGCCTCTGGCGCGAAACAGTTCGGATTGTAACAGTAAGAGGACTATCGACAAATGCCTGCAGTATTGGCATGCGCTGTTCCAGCATTGCTGATAGATCTCTGCAGCGAGTTGTTGAAGCATGTGTAGTCATGTGACTTTTTTCTGCAGATGGTCAAACGCTGTCCAGCCTGGCTCCCGAGGCTCACCGCCACCTCGACCCGTTCCGGCCTTCTGCAAGTGTGAAGCTTAAGAAGCCAAGACTTTCCATGTTATGGAAATGGGTGTGCCGTAAGAGAGGGATGTAGGCTCCACAATCCATGCATTCAGCAGCATCTTGTGCATGGTACGTTCCTGTCTTCGATTCCCACGAAAATGGTCTGCTAAACTGTAGATAGTGCACGTGCATGCCCGGCCTGCAGCTCCTTGCTGTCAGCTCAAGATTAACATAATCATTACCGATTTTTTTCATGTTTTGGGGACCTGCAGGCCGCAGCGGGACTAGGTGTAAGCATCAGGCTTTAGGCTGGAACAGCCAGTTAGGCTTCTGGAATTCATAATGTGCCCTTCAGGGCCGCTGCACGATTGCTGCATGCAGTTGGCCTCGAGTCCCTCGCGTGTCTTAACGCATCGTTGGACAGGGCCGGCCACGAATGTTAAGATTTTGGCCACTGGGCCCAAGCTTTGGGCAAGCAGTTGTTTTATGATAAGAGCCTTTTCAAAAGCGCTTGGTGAATGTCACTTCAGCTCACATCTGGCTGAGCCAAGAAGTTGGTGAAGGACCCTGCGGGTGACCTCAACATCTCGAACGGAAAGCAGCTCCTGAATGCTAAGTCCTTCTTTGATTGGGCACCCAGCAGGCACCAGCGCTGATCTGTCAGGTGTAGCAAGCCTGCGAAGCAGCTGGGATTGCTGAGGGGCAAAGTGACTATGACTTTGCGGCGGCTACCCTTGTCTGATCTGCAAGACATCTCAAGCATGGTCTGCCGATCAGTGCTCAAACCGTACAGGGTAGATGTTTGGCACTGTTGTGCAAACCCAGGGCCTCAGTGGCTCCATACTCTCACTTCCACTCAGACTGTGCAGCTTGACTCAGCGCTACTCACCGAGACAGCACAAGAGTAGAATCAAAGCGCAAGTAATTTCTCATGGCCTTTCGGCCGTTTCGCTACCCGGGGTGAACGCCCCGTTTTCCCACGCGCACGCCGTCTGCCAAGGGCCACTAGCCCCATGGTTTCTTGGCTTGACACGTAACTTCCGTATTAGATGTACCTGCTTGCATGCAGCATAGCCGGCCGAAGTACCAGTAGGCGATGTTGCTCCTTTGAATGGTGCTTAGAGTTCTTCCTGTCAAAGCAATTCTTCAAGTGCTTCCGAAATCCTGGCAACATCCACCCAGGCGACGACTGTGAAAGTGGCGAGCAGAGGGAAGCTTCTCGGATGCAGCTTGTAGGCCAGTCCTTGCATGGTAGGCTGCGTGTACTTTCTTACCAAGGTGGGAGCCGGGTATGCAGGCCTCCTTGGACTTCTCCTGCATGACAAAGTCATCACCAATGTTGAGAGAAATCTACAGACAGGCATCATGTGTACCTCTTACTTCAGGAATCCGACTTGATGGACCAGTTGCCAAACGGCCAGAGTCGGGTGGATGCTGAGCACGTTGCTTACAAATGTGTATGCGAAACTGGTACATAACTGTGGCAGCCACCTCATACGCTGAGGACTGAGCAAATCATGCTGGTCTCGCTAGGTTGCTTCTGCGGGCCGTGCTCCGTCCGAAATGCACGTTTATATGAGACACAGTCTAAACTCCAAGTGATTAATAACCCCTATAATGGTCATTGATCGTCCCCTATATAATCCCTCCCTATATAGCCCCCTTTGAGGAGTTTAGACTAAACCTCATATATCAAAGTGTAGTAGCGCTTCCAGAGAACTTGGCCACTGACCTGAAATCTGAGGAAGCTCTCCTTCAAGAACATCGGGAGGGGAGCTGAAACTGGGTTGCTGTTAAGGACTTTAGCTTAAGTTACTATAGTGGGGAAACCATTAATTACTGTGTATACCCATTATGGTGACTTACTTTAAAGTTCCTTGACAGCAACCCAAGGAGACACTCCCCTTTGATTGGATGCGCACACGTCATGAGGCTGGAGCCTTTGCTGTCACTTTTGTAGCCCTGCATTTGCACGGTTGATTTCAGCATAGTCTCCTCCACTTGACTCTTACCCAAGCAGAGATATCCACAAGACGGACAGGGCTTGGTGCATTTTTTGCGGAATGACTGGGACGAAAGCACAAGCTGGAACGGTGCCTTGCCTTTATGAAGGGTTTACAGAAGCATCTCGAGTCTAAGCCGTTTCTGCTCAGGCTTTTTCGAGTTCAACTCCAAAAAGGCCGCATGCATGAGTGACACCTGAGTCCTCCAAGTCTCAGACGAGTCTCAGTCGATCGTGATAATTGAGTTGGCCAACACTTGCAAACCGTTCTATTCAAATGCGTCCCCTGGTTAAGGCTTGCTAGGCTTACCTAGGCTTCATAGCACGAATGCTTTCCTGGCAGTGTGCAGGTAGTGCCCGGGTGCAACATGACGACGCACCACGTCTGCAAGCCATGCACGGATGATTTCCAGATGATCATCTCTACTAGTCATAGTCATAGTAATAGTGATAGTAATAGTAATAGTATTAATAGTAGTAGTAGTAGTAGTAGTAGTCATAGTAATAGTAATAGTAATAGTATTAATAGTAGTATAGTAGTAGTAGTAGTAGTAGTAGCAGTAGTAGTAGTAGTAGTCATAGTGATAGTAATAGTGATAGTAATCGTAATGGTATTAATAATAGTAGCAGTAGTAGTAGTAGTTGTTGTTGTAGTTATTACAGTAGCAGTAGTAGTAGTAGTAGTAGTAGTAGCAGCAGTAGCAGTAGTAGTCGTCGTAGTAGTTGTTGTTGTTGTAATAGTAAGATAAGTCTATAGTAATAATGATATCCAGAAGGAAGCCCATCTTGGAACAGCTGGCTGCATTGCTCAATACTGCTCAGGTACCGGAGCTACTATCATTCTTTCTGGCATGATGATCCTACAGATCCTGGCATGCACGAAAGATACCGCCGAAGTCACGGCCTTATGTGCATGCAGCGTGCTGTCCTGTGCCAAGCTAGCTCTGACAGTCACGGTCCGTGCAGGAGTGCAAACATCAAGTCAAGAAAAAGGTAATCAGCACGCGCAGTGCGCATTCCCCACAAGAGAGACAAGATCAGCAACGGAAATGGCAGCAGTGGTGGGACAAGCAGCATCGATAATCGTCACCACACTGCAACAAACTCAGGCAGCAGGTGCAGACAAGAATGGTCGGCTTTGCTTAAGCAAACGACCCCACCCATCAGCGGTCAATGAACGTGCTTCGTACGTCAAGAGTAATTAGTCGGACACCAAGCAAGCGGGCAGCCAGGAATAGATCGCTTCAACAAGATCGACGCCAAATCGAAGCCTGTACTGTTCGTGCGGACAATACCCACGACAGATGAACTGAAGGCAGTTCCCGAGTGGCTTGGAGGCAAGTAGGATGGTCTTGGCCTGCCATTCTCCACTTCAGCGATCGCTTCTGCTGGACTTGCCATCCCAGGCTTCTCGATCTGTTGATCCAGCGACATGGAGAGCAGCCAATCTGAAGACCCAACGCAATCAGTTTGGAACCTGTTGCAGATGGTCAACACAATTCTGAGGCAGGCATACCTGCTCCTAATCATCGATTTTCAGAAGACTGCAGAGGGGGCTGCAGTTGTGGAAGGCATACCAGCCTTACAGCCAGTGCTGGCTTGATACCCTCGTCTGTCATGCCTCGTCACTTCAAGCCAACTGCTCATCTAACCAGATCCTGGATGAAGGCATGAGCAACATCATGGTGCACTACATGGCTGGCAGCAAGCATGTAAATCAGGACTGCTGACATTCTGTCCCTCCAGCGATGCTGTATGAACGCAAATCTTGCTTTGGCAGCTTTCGAAAAGTGAAAGGAGGGCTTGCCGGCTCCACCCTATGGTGAGGCAGTGCAGCTGGGCTGCCTTTGCTCAACCCTGGCAGCTCTCCAGTAAGGCATGTTTAATGCACAGCAACATCACCTACATGTACAGTGCCTAGCTCTTGTATGCACAGCATGCTGCAGTCGGCCATGGTATACACAGTTGCTATGCCAATGCCGCCAAAGGAATCTAGCGCTAGATTGGATTGTGGGTCGGCCAGTATCCGTGATGCAGTTTGATGGGTGGGACCTGGCCTCAGATCCTGGAAAACAGTGCGATTCTGTGGAATGCTTCCGGTCATTGTGTAAGCTGCGCATTCTTCTAAATGGGTCGGGATGCGACAAGGACACCATCATCAAGTGCGCTGACCGGACGGATCTTTGGCGTCAAGCTGTGCACAACTGAGGGATCTCCTGTACGCATGTTTCCAATTAGGCAAGCAGATCCTGATTTTGCCGCCAGCATCTTCTGATGACAAAGCCAATATACAAGTAGAATTGGTGCGCAATTGACCGGTTCACCAGCACCAATGGTATGATCACTCGAGGCATATAAGTGCTTATGCACACTTACGAGAGGTGAGCTGCAGGCAACCGTTTGCAAACAACGTCGAGGGTACGCTGTACTGCTTCCAAAGAACCATCCGAAGAGCCCTGCTTCTCATTCATTGGACAGTGATAGAGAGAAACCCGAGGAGTGGGGTCTCAATGGCTTGGGTGGCCTCTATGCCTTCGAGCAAAGCTTGGAGACACCAGAGGAAGAGCCCTTGGAGCCACTGGCACGAAGGTATTGGTAGGCGGGACCTACATAGGGGTGTCCCAAAATTAGGGGCATCATTTTGGGGGTCCCTGTAATAAGGAGTATTAGTATTTCGGGTCTATACTGGAGTACCCTTGCATTGGGAAATTACCACATGCATAGCAGATGTAGCTAGCTGCTGATGGTAGCTTGGGCTCAGGTGTGAACGCTGCATTTGCCACGCTTGTCGGTGGGACTCAGGTCTATGCCGGACCCCTTGCCGCAGCTTCCTGGCAAGTCTTCCTTGGAGCTTGCTGAAAAGTACGCCATACAGGCAGCTGCAGCTGGATTAATCACTTGAATGAGCTTTGAAATGCCTTGCTTGACGTATTGGACCAGGCACTGGAGGAGAGACAGCTCAACGCGGAGAATCTGAAGGTGATATCTCTTGGCTCAACAGGTCTGGTGAAGGCCAGGTGAGCCCAGGTGCGGCGAGGGCTTCTGTTGCCAAAAGCAGAATCCAATGGAAGGCCTCTTTGCTCGCAATGCGCCTTGACTCCGGCCCAATGCCGTTCGATTGGCTGCAGACTCTTGGACTTGGTTTGGTGCAACTTGGTTTGATGCAGCACATCAATCTCGTCTCGGCTCCCAAGGATTACCGACGCAGGTGTGCTACATTTTTTGCGTAAAGGGTGGGAGGTCGCCTGTCAAGCAGACATTCTGCAACATCATGCATGCATCGTTGTGTGTCCGACATGGGGCATGAGCAGCGAGGCCCCAACTCGTGAGGGCCTGGGGGCCGGTGGTCAGCGACCCTCCGAGAAACATGGCTTCTTCGACTACGGGACAAGGCCTTCGAAGGGTGAAGCGGAGCCTGTGACTTGAAGCGCGCTGAGCATGCCACGGTCAGGAGACCTGTGCCCGGCACCTCATTAAAGATGTGCCGCTCGCATGTCCATTCCTTCTGGCACGATGACCCTGCAAATCCGGAGGTGGGCCACTGCACATCTTGTTGTTACTTCTATAAGCACGCATTTAGGGCAAAGGAAAAGCTGCTTCAGATACGTGAAGTAGAGATGTGTACCTCAAGCTGAGCAATTACAAGGCATTTGTTAGACGCGATGGGCTTGCCTGCCTCAAGGTTCGCGAAGAGTTCACCTCGCAGTTCAAGCGCTTTGATGATCTCGCGGAAGAACGGGGCGATCTCAAACTTTTCGTGCGGGCTGTGGCGACTTCCAGCGAGCTGGGACGGGCACGAGACCTGATGCAGGCTGCAAGCGGTGGTGCTGCATTTGCTGTGCTCAGCGAGCAGACTTGTTTCCCTAAAATGCAGGCTGTAACAAAAAAGTTCGGCAAGCAAGCCGCGCTGTTGTGGCTCTGCTGGATTTCTGTTTTTTTCATGTACGCTTCTGGACAGCTGCTCAGAGCAAACCCAGGTTGATCTGCGATTTTCAAAGTCAAGTCCAGGGACCGCATATGGTCGATCCTTATGAGGATCTGATGGTCTATTTCCTTGAGGCGGAGTGTGGCTTGGCACTGGAATCCTGTTCACTTGCTCGCATGTTCGCATGCCGACCAGGCAGCAGCCCACAGGGAGCCCATTCCATACAAGAAGCCCATACTTGCGGCTTTGGACTGGATCGCTGGAAGGGAGCTCCAGCCTCTCGGATTCTCTCAGCTTCAGATTACATCAAACGGTGCTCGAACAACCCATCAGCTTGCAAGGATGGATGTGGCTCCGGACTTCAAGGCCTGAGCAATCGTCTGCAAAAGCGATCACCAGATTATTCAAAGCTAAGGCACTGGAAGCCTTGGCGGAACCAACTTCCTGGGGCATGAGAGGCCTAGGCGGGCCTGAAGTGGCAGAGAACGCCGCTGCGGGGCAGCAGCTTGAATATGATGCGAGGTGGATTTCATGCCTTCGAGATGCTGGCAGCTGCAGCAGACGGCGATGAATGGATACCTGGGCCCGAGGAGCAGTGGCTCGTAGATGCCAAGTTCGAGGCAGACAAGGACGGCTCGACTTGTGCTTCGAATATTTGTAGCACTGGTAAGCGGAAAGTCTCAAGAGGAGTCCCTGGCTCTCGTCTCCCTGGGATACCATGAGAAGCTTGGCCAGGCTGTGAGAAAAAGCCTGTGGCATGATGTGGCAAGCATGTCATCCCTGATTCGTCTGTTTTTGTCGAAAAGGCGTTGCGCGAGTTCAATGCCGAAGCCTCACCATTCAATGGCTGCTTCGTAAGCGGTGAGGGCCTGTGCCTAAGATAGCAAGTTTACAAGTCTTTAAGTAATTAACTGAATTGACCTACCTTCTCCGAAAGCTGACCGCAGGCATCCTCCATTTCTTGCGATCCGACTTCTGTGACTTCTTAGACATGCCAAAGGCAGAGAAGGTTCCAGACACACAGTTTTACGTTCGTCGCTCCTGCATCTTGTCAGCACTTATCTGGAATCTGCAACTGGGGAGTCCCTTAAGGAGGTTGATGTCAGCAATCTGAAAGGGCCCAGCGTGGTGCAAAGTCCGTCGTCCTTTACCCGAGAAGATGCCTGCTCAGGCTATCACAGCTTCTGGGACCATGATGGTGAGTCAGCAATGCAAGCTGCCAAAGAGGGCTTGAGGCACATTGCGCTGTTTACAGCAAGTAACTGGTTGCCTAAAGCAATCGCCGAACCGGAGCTGTTCAAAATTCAGGCAGCTTTGCTGTGCTCATATTCAATAATGGTGTAATGACTTAAACAGTCGTGCAAATAGGAAAAGAGCACGAGCAAGCCAAAAAGAGTTGTTGACATGAAGTGACTGTGTCTTCTGCTTCGGAGGTCATTTCGGGAGCTTCTGCAGACCAGCCGAACGAAGCTCTTTGTTCGGGCAGTTGAGCCTTGCCGGCATGAAGCTGCAAGCAGGTACAGCTTTTGGAAAGTATTAGCGCTGAGGCAAACAATGACGAGGTGCTCTTGATTGGTGCTTCTTGGCATAGTCTTTGCGCAGCTGAATTGGCTACTGTACCTTGTGCTGCCTCGTACCGCGTTCCATTGCCAGGTCAGGCTCCACACGCGCAGCGCATATCACCTTGGACAACATATGACGACTGTCGTTGTAAATGTAAGTGTACGCAACGGCTGTGGAGCAGCAGGCAGCACAGTGGACAGGGAGCTTGCAGGAAGCCTGTCAGGCCCAGGCGTACCTTCTTCACATGAGGCGGCGGAGGTAGCGAAGAGCATAAGATGCTGACTGCACAGCAAAAAAGAACAGCGCGGCAAGGCTCCACACGCACAGCCCTGAGAAGACCTGGAAAAACAAAGAGGTGATGGGCATATTCAAGCCCTTTTCCCAGATGTTGCAGCAGCAGGAAATGTAAGCCTCAGAAAGGTTGACCAAGCTGGTGCTTATGAAGGGCGGGGCTACGCGTAGCACAGGTTGGGCACCGCACAAGGTCCTGGCCTTTCATACTACAATTATTTCGCCTACGTGGGTCGGCAGGGCTGCCCTGGCATGCGGATCCTTCTCAGTCAGAGACTTCCAGGAAGCCGCCCCCAAACCGGAGCCAAAGCAAATGATCCTCTTGGCGAGTCTGAGAGTTCCCCCCCCCGCTGCCATCAGAGTAAGAAGCCAAAGCTTGCCTCCACACGCGTGGTAATCCACCCTGTCGCCACATAGCAGACAACTACTCCATGCATAAAAAATTTCGGCATCAACATAGTTCAGGACAGAACTGAAGCTCATTCCAATCATGGCCTGTTTGGCAGTTCGCAGCATGTTGTGTGTGTGTGTTTGAAATTTCTCAACTTTCAAGGACCTTTATGCAGAGCTGACCAAGCGATTTGGTCGTGCCTTGCTTCTGATTCTCCTGGGCGGCCAGGCAGCGGTGCTGTGAGCGTTCCGACTTGGCAGCAGCATGAACGAAGATGTGCAAGTGATACTTGTAAGCTTGTGGAAAAGGCCGAGAGAATAACTCTGACTTTGCAAGACAACTACAACATCCTCTTTCAGAAGCTCGCCTGCAGTCCTGCCTGTCCTAGCATTGGTCAACATGCTTCTCGTAGCTCCCTTCCGATTTTCTCCACGAAACGGGCAGGGAACAGCGTGGACACCCAATTCCATAGAGAAGCAACGATGGCCCGCCCATTTCATAAAAGATGCTATTCCCGGCCCGTTCCGTAGAGGCATCGCCCCCTACCCCTGGTAGTACTCGTAGAAGCCTGTGAGCCCTTTTGAAGCCGTGATGAAGGAAACATGTGAAGGCCAGCAATACAGATCCCAGGGATGGGGCATAATGTTTATCATCCATGCCAGGCTACAATCTATAGTGACTGCTCATGAAGGCATTGATTCCAGATGTTCAAGCTGAATCCAAGCAGCGCGTTTGAAATGACAGGAGTGTAAAACATGGCCGGCCACGTGCAGTCACGGGGTCAGGCAAACCCTTAAAATGTGACGGTGGCACCTCTTTCGTGGAGGCAAGAGGCCAGCCCCATGCTTTGGCTCTTCGTGGAGCAAGGCAAAAGATGTTTCGAATCCGTAATGAATCAGTCAGAAACCGGAGGTTAGCGTACCCTGTACATTGGCAGCGGGTCCTGTTGTGTCTTCCTGCACCTCTTGAAGCCATTCTGCCGGCAAAACAGAGGCTCTTCGAGGAGGATGTGGCGCAGACAGGCAACACGAGATGCAACTTGCAAAGACGTGAGTAATCTGCTTTAAGCTTTGCTGGGCACGGCTGTGTGTCGATTGTGTCGGTTGGTAGATACCTGCATCTCACTCACCGTCATCACGCGCACGTATGAAATGTGCAGACACAGAGTGCACTTAAGGCTACACAGAAAATGTGAAGAAGTGCCTGGACTGGGCCGTTGGCAAGCCGAGCAAGGCAAAGTTGACTTGATCAAGGAAAGTCTCACTGAAAGCCAGTCCGCAGAGAATTTGATCAGGTCGGAGTCGTGCCTGACCTGGTGACGCTGAAGAACTTGCTGGCACCTGGACCAATCTTGCCGATATACGGCCCTGGAGGGGCTCTCCCCATCTTTGAGGTGCGCATAAAAGGCTCATGTTTGTCGATTTACTTCGGTTCACAAGCCTCGTTATATAGTCTTGTTGCTGTATTAGTTGTAGTCGGCCATTCATGCGATATTCCAACCATCATCGTTTCTCCGCGGTCAGGGGTCTACCTGTTTGTATGTGCAGCAGCCCTATGATTGATACAGCACCAGTACAGCACTGTGGCCTCAAGCTAGTTCCGAGAAGCTGGCAGCTCGATTTGCAAGGATGGATGTGTTTGCCCACGTGAAGCTGCCACAGGAGTCGCACCTGCCCTCCACCGCGGATGGATCCCCAGAAAACTCTGCGTCAACTTCTTCGTCGCCAGCCAAGATAGCTTCAGCAAACCCAAGCTCGGGCTACAACTCTTGACTAATTAAGTGTCTCACTCCCTGACGTGCATGCGGCCAGCACGCTGCCGTCCATTGCAAGGAAAACTGCCAGGAATGTGCTGATCAGCAGTGTTCTGCATGATGTGGAAATCTTTTTTGGTAAGTCTTCAATACCTGAACGCACTTGCATACCATCGAGGCAGTGCGGATCAAGTGTTGCTCACGAAGGTTCATGTCAGGGCAGCTCATTGAATGGCTTGCTTCACCCGATAGTAGCTCAGTCTTTATCCAATCCGTACCTGCCTTGGCTGCCGCGCTGGATGGCAGACCACGAGAACCCTGAAGAAGGCCATTCAAATTTGTTGATTGAAATGTGGGGACTCCTTGGCTGAACGCTGCAGGCAAAGCCAAGGCCAAAGCCAAGTCAAAAGCAAAGGCCAAAGCAGAGGCAAAACAGAACCCCACAGCGAGGGCCAAAGGCCTGTGCTGGACGGGCTTGAAGACTGTGGCTGAGATTGGGTCAGTTTCTTGAGTCAACTTTCTTCCTGCATAGCAAACGTCAGGCCGTTCTGCTGCATCGCGCCTGCGCTCGAACTTCACATCGCAGGCCAGGCCGTCTGTTCGAAAGGCATGTGAATGCTAGTTTCAGTTTGCACTTCCGTCCTCTCGGTACCTGAAGCGTGTCTCCAACCATGAACTTTAAGTTTGCAGCTCAAGAAGCTCTTAGAGAACAGGCCCCCAAGCCAGACTTGCTTGAAATTTCCTCATAGCCCTCCATACCTGGACCTCCTGGACCCCAAAGCGGATGAAGACTTAGTCACAGGCCCAAGTCAAGCAGGCATAGAGACTGTCCCAGCAGAGGTCTGTCAAGGACTGTTGGGGCCTTGACGGACTGGTTCCTTCCAGCAGTGGATTTGGATTCCAAGCAATAAATTGCTCTTGAAGACTTATCGTATGCAGTGTTCCTTGATAGATATTGCTATTGAGCAGCCAGCAGAATTGTTGCTCGTCGTAGCAGTGGCTGCCCACATTTGCCAGGTACAAAAGCGACGTCACAGTCAAAAAGTCTCCGATCCAGCCTTTGACGATGCAAAGCCGAGGCGGCCAAGGTCACTCCTTGGGGAAAACCTTGCTAGCCGCAGAAGTGCATCCATTGAGTGAAAGCACGATATGGTTGTTTCCGTCATGGATCTAGTTCAAGAATCTGCGGTGATCAGTAACTCCCCGAACCCCATTTAAGGATCCAAAACATGGCAAAGTGCTCTGGAACGGCAAAGATGTCTTTAAGATCTCAATGACACCAGCTCATTGCCGTGGATCGTGTGCGCCGCAATGCCTGCAGGAGAAATAAACGAGCGGCCGCGGAAGGTGGCCACTTGACCTTACAGGAAAAAATGATTCATCTTGCTGTCCGTGTGATTCTATGTGTGAGTTCGTGCTTGATGGCGGCTTAACACTACGCAACATCTGTAGGCCAAGGCACACAAATCTAAAGATGCTGTTTGAGGCTCAAGGTCACGCTAGGTGTTTGGCATTTAGGGCAGTGAATGTGGCTCAGGTGACGAGTCTCTGAAAAGGAGACGCAGGCACCATGTACTGCCAGAGCGTCGAGACTCCACGCAGTTAAGAAATGAGGGAGAAGTAGAGAGACATACCAACTGTAGGACCTAACCTAACTTCCTGCCTGATACGTATAGCTTCAGAAGGCAAGCGAAGCCAGCCCCTGCGAGGACGAGTGCAGCGGGCAGCAAGGCAGATGCACAACCAGGCGCAGCCATAGAAAAGCGCGGGAGTGTCAAGAAGCTCAACGACGTAGAAGAGCCAGCACCCTACTACCTGCACCTAGCAGGGCTGTTTCAATCAAGCGAATCAAGCATGGCTGTGCAAGAGCAAGGAAAAGATTCCCTGCGAGTGCCTTGGCAACAAAATGTGGTGAAAATTTGGTCGAGACATGTTGAGACCCTTGCAAAATTGAGCTCGAACCGATTCGGACTAAAGGCGAGGATGCAGATGAGCCTGACCTGGATGATTCCGATTTCGATTCCTCAGATGCTTGGCCGGTTCAAGATGGTTGCACTTGCGCGTGCTGGCTCGGCCTGGGTCAAGCGGGGCGGCGTAGATCCGTGAAATTCACTTCCTGAAGACTACTAGACCACCACAAGAAAGTGCCACACATCTGCCAGGTCAAGGGGGCGTTGCGTCTTAGTGCACACCTCAGACCTCCTTGTAGACCGCAATACCCTAGACGCACGTTGACCCTTCGCTGGTGGCCCCTAGTGACAAGTGCAACGCCTAGAAGGCGCTCTCAGACCCCCAACAGCCCACTAGCTTACGTGCCCTGCCTGGCACGCCTCCCAAAAGCCGTCCTTGGAACTGCCAGGGACAACCCAGACTTGCTAGCCAAATGGACGCCTAGACTCCCTAATAGTCCCTGAGATCCAGAGACCGCCAGGACCCTGTCCTAGGCACCCTTCAAGCCAAACCCCGTACACCTGTAGTACAACATTGAATAGAGGTTCTACACCCCCTGCTCCTGTAGAGCCCCAGGCTTAGGCCTCAAGTAGATTTGGAAGAGCCGCCTCCGACCCCACTCGACGCCAAAGCGGACCTCCCAACTCTTTTACACCCTTAAACCCCTTGCGGGCACCTCGACCCCTTAACCTTAACGCACGCTAGCACAACATAGCACAACCCTCGCACCTAATAGACCACCAGACCTCCTTATAGACCTACCTGGTAGACCCCTTTATCCCCCAATAGCCCCCTGCAAGGCTCCCCAGGACCTCTTGGGCCCCGTAGCTCCACATATAGATGCACCTAGACTTCCTGTCGATAAAGCTTTCAAAGCCTTGGAAGTCCTTCAGAGCGCATGGTTACACAAAAAGAGGGCGGGTGTCCCGAAAGCGTTTGAAGAAGTGAGGTAGTCAGCACCGCGACATCTAACAGGTCATTCGTTCATGTCTGCAGCACCCATCCATCCATCAATACCTCCCTCCCTCCATCGGTCTTATTGACTTTCTGATTTGCTGATTTGCTATACTTTGTTCAGCATCAAGACATCAATTAGTCACCGCCCCACGAAACTGGAAAGACAACATCGCAACGCTATCTTGAATTAAGAGAAAAACATAGGAAAATAAAGCGATGACCAAGCAGAAATCACAGGAAAGCAAGGCGACCACCAAGAAGGAATATTGTTGCCCATTGATTTTAGCAGCGCAGCCGGGAGCAGCCTTGGCGCGATTTGCTGAGTGCGACGTCCCTCGTGCTCGTGATTTAACGGACGGCTACGTCGCCTTTCTAGCTTATGACTCAACGGATGCCATCGGATCCACGGGCCTCGACAATCCCTTCCCGCGCGAGCTGCCATGGCCAGCAAATGGAAGGCAGGGAGCTATAGGCAAAGCACGTGCGCATACACAGTGAATGTCAGCAAGCTGAAGGTGTGCATATGCCGTGTGACTACTCGCGTAACAGCACCTGTTTAGGCAGGGAGCCAAAAGCAACACATGCATACGCTTATATTCTCAATCTCAGCAGACTCAAGGTCAACACATGCCGCATGAGCGGAGCGCTGCGTCTACATCATCTCATTTGTCAACCGTGCAAAAGCTTCGCGAAAACAGTGCAACGACCTCGTCGCATCATCCCATCCACATCATCCCGCCAATCAAACACCACGGAGAAACCATTTGCAACGCTTTCGGGAATAATGGGCCGGTCTTGTTGGCTTCCGGCACGGAGGCGTGCGGGGAGGGGGAGGCAGGAGTGGGTCGAGGTTTTGCCCTCCTCGGCAGATTTTGAAGTGTGAGTGTGGTATATGGGCATGCGCGGCATGCTTGCTGAGCCACGTGATTTGCTGCGATGTTTTGACTCATGTTTGACGGCAGATCTTCCACACATGAGAAGTGCCAGAGTTCAGGGAGCTGGACGTCACATCAACAGCAGCCTTGATTGTCCTAGGACTTGGATGCTACGCTCATGGCAGTTGGGGGACAGGATCTGGAAGAATCAGGCGGCGGGCTGAGACTGCCCACTGTCAAAAATGCTCTACAACATGCTGCGACGTGCATTCCGACCACTTCTGTTTTTGTCGGCTGTGGACTTTAACACAAGCCAGCACATGTCCGACAGCAATGTACGTGGCTACTGTTCAAACTTGAGGCCTCATGGCGCAAAAGATGCAAGCACGTCGCCTCAACAGGAAGAAAAAGAAGAAGAAAAAACAGAGGCGGCTCGGCTTTTTCCGTTACATCCTCTTTCGGGGAATTGTTGGCTGCAGGCAGAAAACAGCGCAAAGTGCCACACTGCAACGCGCTCGTGCCAGCTGCCAGGCAAGTTACTGCTGCAGCCGGGGAGAATAAAGCAAAAACATCGGTGTGCAAGCAAGGTAAGTTGTTCGGTTCATTTGGTCGCTGCCACACGTTCATGGCAAGGCAACACCAGAAGCCCGCGTGCTTCTCTCTCGTGGACAGCAGCAGTTCTACTGTGGGGAGTTTGCGGATGCAATTGAGACAATGCGCGCAGTCATCAGACGCTTCGGCTTTTGATTCATTTCTGCGAGCACTTTGCTTTCAGTTATAACAAACGGTTGTTTTTCATGCAGCCGGAGCGGTTGGCTGGTGCACGGAAACAAGGAGAGCAGCCTGGGCTTGCTGATCCATACCACGTCCTGCATCAAGTCTACACGGAGCTTGGAGAGCAGAAGAAGGCCCGCCTGACTTTCCCCCAACATAGACATCGCCTGCCCAACTCAGGCTCTTCACCATCTCATCCTTTGTGCATACTTCACAACGCCGACAGCAGATGTTCCTCGGCTTCCAGAAAGTGTTTCCGCCGTGGATTCAGCCGGCTCTTCCGCCTCAGGCACGGCCACTGTGGCAGAGGATTGGTCACTCTTCTGTGAAAATGGGCTTGACAGAGCAGGCGCAGTAAGTGAGATTAAGTGGGATGTACACTGTGTTTGGAATAGCGGCTGCTTTGCACTGTATGTCCTTAAAATTGCAAACACGAAGGCTTGGAGGCCCAGTGCCCAAATTGCGCAGCCCGCAGGCATGCTATGCCTTCAGGAGAAGCCTTTCTCCTCGAGGCAAAGCGTCCAGTGGGGCCTTGTGATTTTGACGCGAGCTCAAGGGATGTCCTGCCGCGGAGGCTCTCGTACAGAGGATGACTGGAGGTCACTATGGGAGCTCTCGAAGTTGCTTTTTCAGCAGGCACATTGGGTCATTGAACCACGCAGTCAGCTGAAGATAGAAGAGCAGTTAGGAGCGTTACAAGACTTTACTGATTATATACATCTAGCGGAGTCTGCGAACACAACGAGGGCCCTCGGACAGGTCAGTAGCAAACGCAAGAATCACCTGAAAAGAACGACACCCCTCAGAAAGACCCTCCTCCTAGCTATCTCCACTCTGGCCGTGCTCCCACTGTCTCCCCTCCCAATCCCGCTCTCACCTGGTTGGAGAGGAGATTGACAAGTTTGGTGAATCTCGGCTAAAAAAAGGGGTACAAAGTTTACTCTGGTAATCAGCAGCTTTTTCCTTGGTGTCCTGCAGTTCTGTTGGTCCTGTCCTCCGGTGCCCGGTCCTCGGTCGCCGTTCTCCGACTTGTTGGTGCCCTCATCTTCGCGCGTTCTTAGCTGTCCCGGCACGTGGCCCCATGCTGTTGCATCTGCTCCTTGGTGAATTGCTGTTTGTAGCTTGCTCCCACAATTTGTGTTTTTCGCATTGGTCCATCAACTTTCGTGACTACAACAAGCATCATGACTCGTAATGACGGTCTTGGCTCCATCTTGTGATCGTCCCTGTCGTGCTATTCAAAACGTTTTGCCAGCTGTGTCATTATTGAGCCGTTTGCATTTCACTCATGTTCCCATCATTGCCGCTTCCGCCGTTTGGAAGCCTCATCGGTTTGGGCTCAGGGCTGAAGAAGTGACATGCAGGGATCGATGCAAGTTTCCATATATGAACCCCATACGCCTGCGCAGCCAAGAAATTGGCAAACCATCTTGCAATGCAGCCAGAAGCCTCACATGCTGACTTGGAGTTTCTGAGGCAGGTGAGGGCCGGTGAGGGGGGGGCGGGGGCTGCGCGGCGCCATCCCCAAACCCCTGCCTCACCTACCCAACCGAAGCCAAACCATTCTGTAAAGGCGTGCTTTCTTAGGTAAGGTGGGCTGCCTCGGGGCTTCCATGGATTATTGGATTTGTGAATGTTGTCCGCGCTTGTGGCCAATAAATGATCAGCAAAAACGGGGCACTCAAGAAGCAACACAAAAAGATGAACAAAACTCCACCCAACCGAAAACTCTACAGCCCATTTTTTACACCTGGAGCCCTCGAGCAATGAGGACATTCATCTAAGTAGGTTGAAGCAGGTCTCTTAAACTGCTGCCCGCAAATATGCAATCAGAAAGGCAAATCAAGAGTTTCTAGCAGGAACTGTTGGCTTGGCTGGTAAGGGGACATGCGGGCTGGTGTCGCTGTTACCCAAAATTGGCAAGGGGCTCTGTTGGCAGCAATCTACGGCCCAATCCATGAGCAACTAAATCGCGATCGGAACGCAGGGCAACACCGACCAGGGCATAGAGATCTTGTACGAGCTCTACGAGGCCTTGCTTCGCTTTGATAATCCAGATCGGCAAGAACTTCCCATCAGGAGACACAGGAGCCGCAATTAGCGGTGGAAGTGGCGAAAAAACTCGTCAAGAGGCCAGAATAGCCAAGCACCACGTACCATACCACCACATACTAGCCATAGACGTGGCATGCTCAGCAAGCCCAAAGATGTCATAGTGGAATGGTCTTGAAGGCATCGCTGGAAAGAGTGCCTTGCCCTGCTCGAAAGCTGTGTCCAGAAGGGCCGTGAGGCGAGCTATAGGGAGGCAACAGCAAACTGGTATGGCTGCAAGTGTCATGAGAATCTTCACAGCTTTGTGCGTTTGTGGGATTGATGGCTCAATGTCTGAAGCTGTCAATGCTGCGTAAGATCTGTTTCAAGCAGAACTTACACTCAGACATGGTACGTACTTGGGCTGATCATCTTTGTTTGGACGTTCTTGTCGCCATGGCTGCGGAAGTGCAGAACTCCAGGATAGAGACCATACTGCGGTGGCAGCCCATTGAAGGGCGCCTTCCCACAGCATGCGGTTCGGAATCTTCATTCTTCAGATATCAAGAGCTGCTACTTGTTTTCAAGAGCCAAGGATCTACTACCCAAACTTCATCAAGGAGTCCGCGATACGGCGCTTACAGCAGTGGGAGGGCAGAGCAGGATGGGCAGCTTTTACAACTGGCGCCTGACGTTCGCAGCAAAAGCAGACAGTACTGGGGGCCCTTGGGGCCACTCAAGACCCGGCACTCAAGCATGGAGAACTGACACGTTGCGTAAGTTCTGAGATCCAGGAGACGTCTTCCTGGTCTCCAACTTCCCTGTTAGAGGCCGATTGCTTGATCGGCAGAAATGCAGCCCAATCTTGGCAAACTGCAAATGCACGGGGCGCTGTGCATAGTAGATTTGCGGCTGGCTCAGTCACATTCAATTCTCTGCTGGCGCGCCGCCGGCAGGTTTGCAAAGAGTCCTTACCTGTTTGGTGGAGGGCCAGCTGCTGAGTTGGAACTCTGCTGGCGCACGAAGTATATTTAAAAATATAGTATGATATATCATATTATAACAAAAGTATGGTAGAATGCAGTATAGTGTAGTATATTATAATGGTAAAGTAGAGCTCATTTGCGCACATGTGTTATTCTTGAGTCCGTTACGTGCCTTTAAGCTTGCGCATTCTCAGTGACTCAGGTCGCGACAACCCATGGGAGGGTGGACTGCTTGACAAGCCCTACTACTGCGACCCTTTGCAGCAATTGGCGGAACACGCCAGTACTGTTATTACTATCATCACTACTGTTATTGTTATTACTCTTACGGGCATTACTATCATCAATATTATTCCTATAGTATTATTAGAAGTGTTGTTGCGATTCTTATTCTGTCACCTCAGGAAGCTGGAGCCTCTAAGCGAGGCGTCGATGCGTACCTTGGTGAAGCGAATGATTGGAGCTTCCGACGATGCTTCAAGACGCACGCGTTTCCGCACCTGCTGCATGGCGGAGACTACCATGCTGGTGCATAGGGGCCTCTTCTACCAGTCAATTTTGGCTTTTCAGTAATATCATGTACGATTATGATTACTCGTATTATGACTACTAAGACTATTTTTTTTAGCGAAGCTTCTTCCTTGGGAGGGTCAGGCTCCTAGCTCGTCCTCATGTTTTGCTTTCTGCTCTTGCGCAGCTGGATGTCCCCTGCAGATTCAACGAAGATTTGCAAGCGGCAGTTATCATTCTAGGATGTGACTTCTGATTGTAGGTTGTGTAGGCTGTGGGAGCAGTCTGGGGTCTCCTCAACTTTCCTCAACTAAGCAAAAGACCTTTGCATGCCTGAGGTTTCCCTGTCGCTATCCATTCCCACGCCATACCGGCGATGGAAGCGCTCTCAGGTGATTTCAGGTGTGCATGTGACGTCACTGCTAGTCGACAATCACACACCCTTCCGGGTGCTGAGTGCTCCGCTGCCCGCTCCAACAAGGAGTTCCGCCCAAAGTTCTGGTCCTGGTAGCTGACCCTCGTCATGCGTTCGCTGTCTGGTGGCAAACACTGGGCCAGCCGCTGGGCAGACATTCTACTTGTAAAAGGCGAATGCCCCAACCCAACTGAGCGTCGGCCAAAACCCCCAAAGTGGAGTTTTGTATAAACATGAAAGTAATGACTGGCCGCGTCAGCCTTTATGCTGTGCGCGAAGTTCGCGTCAGTAAAACATGAACATTTCCACGGCGATAGTCTTTATGTTTACTCAGTTTGCCATTAGTGCTTGGCTCTGCAGAGTGAGCTGGCGTACCGAAAATGTGTGTCTCATGTCTTATGTGCCTAAGGCAGCTTGCCATCTTGCAAAAAAAAATGGTTCCCACTATGGCTGCGTCAGTGAAATTAAGTTTAAGAGCCTGAAATCAAGCCGCGATAGTTCGCGTCAGTACAGTCTGAAAAAGATGCATTCGCGTCAGCTTTTCCTTAGGGCGCGTCAGTATCGCGACTGGTGGCCGCGATAGCGGCGCAAATAAGAACAAAAGGTTCAAAGGGTGTACAATGACCCCCACCCGTACCCAGGTGTGGATAATTACATATTCTGGGCGCCATTGCCGAAATTTACCGAGGGGCACCTGCGTTGTACCTTTTTTTCTGTGGCATCGTACGGCAGTATGTTCCATGCCCAGTCCCTAGCCCCAACTCATTCCCCGGTTGGCACAATAATCACCATCTTTGCTTGCAGCACTGACCTCCTGCTCGTGACTGTTTTGAAGCCTCTCATGCTGACTGGCTATTGCCCCCGGCACGCCTGCGGTTGTACATTTCCAGCTGGGGTGATAGTACATTTCTAGCTGGGGTGATTGTACATTTCCAGGGCCCCGAAATGCACAATAAGGGACCTGTTCAGGCCACGGGTTAAAGGCAATATGAATCTGCTGGAGCAGCCTTTCTTAGATTCTTGTGATGGAGAAGGCACAAGCTACGCGAGTTTGCCATATCATTCCTAGCTGCTGCATTTCGATTCCCACATCCCTGAAGTTTTCCCTGACAGCACAGCCTTTGGAGGCAGCTGAGATTTTGTTACAAGATGGCCCCCGAGTCTACAGATTCTCTGACCCCACTCATTGCCCAGTACAGGTAACTGTTGCCCGCTCAGGCTAGAGCCCGACGTATCACTTGAGTTGGACTTCGGACTCTTCTTGAAAGTTGTGGCACAACAGGACCACGCAGACAGTCACGCAGATTTCCCGTTGAATCTTCACTGTTCGATTCTGTTGCTTCTGATGCAGGGGTGGACCCTCTTCGGCAACTATGTCGAGCATGCTACTGCCTGGGCCAGGGAAGCAGAGCTGCATCCGGACAATGCCTCTTGACAAAATTGGGTTCAGTTCATGTAGTTTGTAGTGGAACGAAGCACGTGCTATTTGCACTGATGCCTACTTGTAAACACTACCACTCCGTCTGAGTGATGTGACACCCCAAGAAGCAGAGCTACAGTAGTCTGGGAAAGGGAAGAGCCCCAACCTTTTCTTCAGAGGCCTCCAAGATTGGCAAAGAATCGCTGACGCCCGAGGTGCGACTATGTATTGCCGATCGATTAGGCGGGCTGCCTATTCAGCACATGCAATGCAGGTCAGAAAAATTGCTAGCCGGTAGCATATGCCGCGCTAGTTTCACAACTTGTGCTTGGAAAGGTTGAGAATGCTCTATCATGAGTTCAAACAGAAGCAACTGCAGGCTCTCTGGATCCAGAAGAAGTGCGGGAAGAAATGTGGCTTGGAAGTGATAACTCCCAGTCCGCGACGCCAGCCTAGCTTAGCTTGGCTACAAGAGCCTTCCAACCCCACAGTAGGCCCTTAAAGCCCTAAAGCCCAAACCACTAAACCGAAAACCCCTAATAACCCTATAACCCACTGGGCCGTCTAAGCAAAGCTCCGCCAGCCAAGGCACAACATCGCAGATCTCCTTAATATCACCCCAATATATTCCCTATTATAATATAGTTGTTTCCATTTTATTTTCCATTATCCCAATATAATCCTTAATATAACCCCAATATATACCCTACATAACCCATCATGGTAGCTTCCATCTTATTTTCCAGTATCCCAACATATCCCCTAAACCCTATGTTACCCAAGGCACAACATCGCAGATTTCCTGATGATCTCGCGGGACAGAGCAGCCACTGGCCTTGACCTGTGCTGGTTTCAGGTAATATTTGGCTTACATTAGGGTTTAGGGTATAGGGTTTATGGTTTAGGGTTTTAGGTTTAGGGTTTGTGGTAATATTGGGATAATGGAAAATGAAATGGAAAGTACGGTAATGGGTTATCTAGGGTATATATTGGGGTTATATTGAGGATTATATTGGGATAATGGAAAATAAAATGGAAGCTACTACATTATGATATTCGTGTATATATAGGGGTTATATCCTATAAGGTGCCTGCGGATGTGGAGCAGTAGTTGAGACTTGCTTGCGTGCATATTGTTGATGCGCCACTGCCATTCGACAAGGATCGTGTGGTGGACGCGATCTTTTGCAGACCACCGGATGCATCCTCCGCCTTGTCCAAAGAAGCCCAGCTCAATTGCCCGATCACTCCAAGACCTGCAGCAATTGCCTTAAGTTAAGTAATCAACATTAGCCATGTTCAAGTAGAAGAGCTTTGTCTGCTGGCGCAGCTGTCTCACGCACAGCTTCCCCGAGTGGCGCTTCTGACCAAATATCTAAAGCGACAAGGACAGGAGCAGCTCAAAACTCAGCTGCATCTGCTCAGGACAGACTGGTGGACCATGCCGTGCTTCAGGGAGGTCACATTGTGGAAAACACGGGCAGGAACCTCTACCAGAAACCTGGCAGCACAACTAGTTGGCTTCTGGCTATCAGAATTCTTTGTGCTTCGGACCATCCCGACCAGAAAGAGGTTCCAAGATGCTTATCACTCAGTGGATGGGCTGGTGCAAGACATTTGGCGTCAAATGCCCTGCGGCCGAAAGGTGAGGGAAATCGCACATGCACAGTTGGAGGGACTAGTCTTGCATGATCTGTGATTGTGAGCGCCAGGCGCAAGCCTTTCCAACTTAGCGGGCTGAGGTTTGTCACGCTTTGCCGTACGGGAAGCTCATGCCTGCAGGAGGTTGCACAGAAGGCGACCCCTGCATGAACATGTTTAGCTCGTCTTGTACAACCTGCGGCTTTCGGGAAGGCTTTGCAAGGTGGAGCCTCGCTCCCGCCTATGGCCGGGGCCTTTCGAAGATGCAGTTCAAGACGGCAGAGACGGTCATTTACCTCAAGCTCCGCTCAAGATGCACTGCTAGCAGATCCTGATATCGAACAAATAAGCTTGCCTGGGATAACATTGAAGCAGCTGTGCAGGTTGCTCGTCATTAATTGCTTCACTACCTTTTTGCCAAATGTTTGCGAGGTAAAGACTGGTGCCTTTCGCGGCGAGGACGCTCACAATGCCGGCACATGCCGACCTTGCGTCTTCAACCTCCGTGCTTGGACTGCACTTGCAAGCACGGTCATCCGGAAGCCCTGAAGGTCAGGCTTGCGTAGACCACATAGTTCATTGGCTTGGAGACTGACAGGTGGAGTCTGTCGAGACTCTGCAGAGATCTGCTTCTACTGCCATATGGATGGGCATGAAAGGACCTGGGCACGCCATTCAGGTCAGCATTCGTCACGCATTGTGTGTGTCAAGTAGACGCCTTCTCGACCTCAAAGAGAGGCGCTGAGGAACATGGCCCGCGAGCCGTGCAGCAGCCAAAAGAGCCATTATGCAAAGTCATTTCCCCTATGTCTTCCCTTATAGACCTACTTGTACCCTAGATAATTTCCCACACGAACCTTTAGATCAACCCCGACATACCAGTACTGGTGCGAGGACCAAACGCGCTAGCAAGCGAGTGAGGAAGCAGCGACAGCTTCAGCGGCGACCCCAAGCTTGCAAATGGAGGTACTCGTACGGCATGACATTTTGTATGCATTTGATGGCAGCTCTGAATTACATGACAGTCAATACATGACAGTCAAATAAAAAGGGCCTGGCCAGCCAAGCATTCTTCAGCTGAGAACTGCGCGAACAGTCTCCTGATCCGTATGACTGATGATTGATCCTGACCGACGCCGGGATGCGATGAGTTGCAGCTTGCCATTCTCAACGGGACTTGCACTGACTAATATCTGCAGGCCTTGCGAAAACAGCTGCTTGTCAGAGCGACAAGCTGCCACGTTAATGAAGACTAGACTGTACATAGAGCGGTTTCGACACCACTGCCAGAGGTCACGCTGGAGCTGTCGTTCTGTAAGCGCCTAGCATATGACAAGCGCGGATGTAAGTTGCTGACCCTGTCATATGCTGTCGTGTACTGTAATGCAGCCAGCCTCGGTGGTCTGGAACTCCTGGGTTACTAGCCGCAAACCCCTGTTGGCACTGCCCACCGCAGCCTGTGCGCTGATGCCGACCTCGTTGCGGGTGGCTACATCCCAAAGTTGCTTCGGAGCCTTTTAAAGTGAAGCCTCTAGTATAAGGTGATGGCCTGTTGAACAACAGTGCCTGTAGCCTTTGTATAGACCCATACCAGCAAGTCTGTGAGCAAAAAATAAAAGCACTTCGCGTCAAACTTGATGTTTCTAGGATATAAACGGACAAATCTTGGGCAGGCGAATCCGCCAAGAGTGGACCTCAACATCTTAAACATCCTGGCAGAGGCGCATGCTGACGCCACCATGTCGCCACGGTGTACGGTGCACACAGACATCCCAGAGTGTGCCATTCGCACCAGGGTACAAGGCATGTTGCCTTGATGCTCTTAAGACGTTGTGCCGAGCCAGGTTCTGATAGAGATGCGCGAGTTTGAGAAGCGACTTGGCGGCAACAGAAGCCATTGCAGATGGAAGTTCTCCCAAGTCAACTGCGCTTGCATGGTCATGGCATTTGCTCCTTGCCTGAGCCTGTGCCTTCCGGAAAACATTGTCCCAAGGTGCTCTCGGCTTCTGAAGGAGCTGCTACACCTCACCATCTCGCCGACTTCACAACACTCAGGCAGCATGGCACAGGATGCCTTAACGAATGCACCCCCAATCAAGTTTATAGGGTTGTAGTTCTAGAAACTATAATGTACCATAATATACTACCATCTAGTAGTTTCCATTTTCTTTTCCATTCTCCCTATATGACCCCCATAGTTGTAGTTCATTGCCAGGCTCCAGCAGCTCCAAGGATGTTGTGCTGCATGCCTTGGACTCCAAGGCAGAGACCGCCAAGCGTCTAAAGACCAGGTTCACTGTCCAGATTCTGCTGAGCTATGAGCCAAGAGGCTGCCCTTGTACCCCTTGAATGGATCCATCTGATCCATCAGTCGCGTGGAAAGGGGCTTGGCGCGGCTCTTTCAACAAAATCAAACGAGAAATCCTAGTGTTTTTGGGGGAGTATGACGTGCCCAAAAGTTCGCATTACACCACGCCACCCAAGCAACTGAGATTTTCTGTGAGTTTCGTTAAAAGCTGAGAAAACGCACTGGGTCCCCTTGCAAAACCAGATCGAACGTAAACTGAAGTGCGCACGATGATAAAGTGTAACGCCTCCCGGAGGTCCCGCATCCCCTAAGCCTGGCAGCTGCGACTCTCGAAATGAAAGTCTACCCCAAACCCTTTCCAGGGTGCTTGGGAAGTTTGGGCATAGGCCATGGCTTCGGCAATTGCCCGGCAGAAGATAAACATGCTTCGGGACTTGGATAGTAACAGGGGCAGTGAGCAATATATAATGTGAAGTTAACCCGATGACGAAAGGTCTTGAGAACATCGATGTGTTGTTCACACCGCCACGGGCAGGGCGAGGTCCAAGCACCATTCGACAGGTGCTGCTGAAGAAGCTGCACAATTGTCCTGTCGACATTGTCGCAATGCTGGCAGTTGCTATGTGCCAGATCCCGCTTTCAGCTCAGCCAGAATCTGACAGCGCATATGATGTACCGTATTGTTATGGACCAGATGACTGGTAGAGTTTGCCAGAACAGAAGCTTCCTCCAACACTGCGTTGTTTGCACCCCTAAGCAAGTGCAGCAGTGGCTTGGTACGTGCACATTGGCTTCCCCGTGCAAAGGAAGGCGAACATCAGCGAGGATCCTGTCTACAACTGCGCATTAGAGGCTCGCTAATCCAGTGTGCAATGCTGCATTTGTCACAGGCTCTATGCTGAACGACCGTCGTGATCCTGAATAAAAGAAACAAGCTGGTCCTCCAATGTCGGCCAGCTACCGCATGGCAGGTTGTTCTGTCCCATCCGCCAGAATCGCACTCTGACCTCCATTTACTGCTGGTGGATGCTACATGGATGCACCCAAAGCTGCAAGATATTGCTGATGATTACTTTGCAAGCTATTAGGCGATGCTTGCCGACGAGGGCACCACAGCTGACACAGTCAGCAGTCGGTGGCTGCGGAGGGCTAACGTACAAAACTTAGTGAAGTGCGTTGTCTCCAATGGCGACACTATGGAGCTGATGCTATTTCACGAATCTCTGGAGATCTGGGGAGATGAGATAACTCAAACTGATGCATAGAGTGGCATAGAGGTTAGCTACTAGTAGCTTGCACTTGCGAGCTGAACTTTGCTTGAGAGCTGTAGGTTCGAAGGTGGTCTGCAGAGCAAGCTCACCGAATCTTAAATCTGTCTTGCGCCCGGCCATGTTTCTGGCCACCTTCTGCCAAACGAGGAAGCCTGAGTGCACTGAATGTATACAGATTCGGGTTGTTCAGTCCATATGCCCCAGAAAGTAGATTGGCGGGTTGCTCAAGCATGGTGAACATACCATGTTCCACCTATGCACTCAGACAGATTGAGATTGGCTCAGGCTGGAAGCTGCTGATGTGGATGTTGACCTCCGCGAGCGCCAGGCTATGTGCAGATGGCGCCTGGGTCAGGTGCGCCGTCTCAAAGGTTCAACCTATACATTCACAGCGAACTGTTTGCAGAGCTTCTCATTGTGACTCCACTTTGCAACCCTGAGACGCTGCATAACATAGTTGTGCACCTGTCTGGGAAGCATGTCGCGGCAGTTTCACTATCCATTGAGAAAGATGCAGCACAAAATTTAATCATAAAGTCATGGTTGCCTTTCTGAGTGTCTTAGTAGGACATGTACAATGCTGAGAGGTCAAGATATGCTGACATACCACAAACCTGAACGCAACCAATCCCACCCCTGTCAGGTGGAAGAAGCTGCAGTTCAGCTAGAATCCTTGCTCGAGGCTGTCTGCATGGAACAACGAACAATGCTGTGGTGGAATTCATGTTGTACCGTGGCAAGGATCCTGGAGAAAGAACGGAGGCAGAGCTTCGCAACATGAGGCGGCATGTGAATGATGCAAGTCAAGCGTCGGCCTTTTTTAAGTAGCGTCGGCTTAGCTTACATGGGTTACATGCACGTCATTCCTGCTTCGCAGGGTTCGGGCGGCAGAGGCATGGATCGAGCCTTGGCTAAAAAGTCATACATGAAGGCTTTGGAGCTGTCAAAGACTGAATCGTCGAAGGAGCTTGGCAATCCGAGTCGTGCTGATCAAGTCCTAAGCTGCTTGAGCTACGAGGCGCTGTCACGAGCCCTTTGCAGGTTGAGCAGTTTTGACAGCAAGCAGGAGTTGCAGCGCAGCAATGCCCTCCCGCCTCCGCTCAGTGCCGCAGAGCGCAAAACCCTGTACAAGGAGCTTCACGGCTATCGTCAAGTCACATGCAAAATCGAAGCCTGGATGTCCAGCTCGGCAAGATCTTTTAGTGAGCATAGTTCAGGATGAGGCCATAGGTTGATGTTTCGACGAGACACCAGGGCCAAGAGTTTTCGAGCGTTACATGACGCACAGAGTGTAGTGGCTGGCCAGGAGCTGTCTGAGATCATTGATCGTGCGTTGAACGCCGCCGTGGCAGCCAAAGATGTGGCCCGGACCTCAACATCCTATCAAGCTCGGTTAGCAGCGATTTCATAGTGTGAATCGAAGCATGACCTGCAGGAACATGCACATGACTACGTGGGCAGCAAGGAGGCATATTGTTCTCATGCATCCGCAATCATCCGCATTCACTGGCATCTTGCCCCAACAGTAGGAATTGCAGCACTTCCTCGCAAAGTTCCGACATCTTGTGTTTGCAGCTGAGTTCGGCGGCTGGGTAGAGGGTGTGCAGAGGGAATGCAAGCGCATGCTCCCCGAGGTACGACTGCGAGCTTGATTTCAAGCGGCTCAACGCGCGAAGCAACAGCGCAAAAGAGAGCGCAGCCCCACAGGCCGTGGAGGACGCAACTTGGCGCTTGGTGAAGAATTCATTGGGTAAAAGTCTCGATCATCCAGGACGCTAAGCCAACCGCCGGAGAAGAGGAGCAGAGCTAGAAAGGGGCAAAAGTCCAAACGAACAAATGTCCCGTACAGGAGCCTTCGCAGGCTGCCCAGGGTGGCGATGCATCATCTCCGCAAGTGCCTCCTGACCCAGGCCTGTAGTAAGCCCGTTGTGTTTCCAGCACTTCGTAAGGTCAGTGTTCCAGAAGAATACCGTACACGGTACAATGAGCTTCTGAATATGAGTTGGCATGAGTTGGAGACATGTGAAACTACGCGTTGTTGACCTCCGAACTGCCACACAGGTGCAGACAGCATTCTACTGATCAAAACCACGAAGGCTGAAGAGCACCTGGTGCAGTGAGGTGCGCTGTCCTGCCTAGAAGTGCTGGCACTTGCAGGTGCGAGCCCCAAAGGCAGCAAGCCTAGTGGTTAGATTCAAGAGACCTCTGTCTGAAGCGGGCCGAACCAAGGCAGACGGGGCACCAAAGGCCAGAATTAGTCATTTGGTTGAGCCTGGCATGAAATATACATCACAAAAAAGCTCCTTCGAGCCCCATACCAACGCTAAACTCCTGTCCAGTCGCACATGTCACATGCTACTGATGACAGACACGGCTGCTTGGCTTACGATTTTCCCGTAGACGCTGCGCAGGCCTCAAGCATCCATCGCTTCAAAAGACGGCACATGGGAATACAGACAGTTGAAGATATGTTCGTGACCCAGAGCCACTACACAAAAAGTGCTTCGCCATTTCATGTTCATCTCGAGGTTTGGCTTCGAAGCTTACCTTACCATGGTCAAGCACGGGGCCATGATAATTCGTCCTGCGCTTGGCATTTCGAGATTGTTTTGAAGATTAAGAGCGCAAGCCTCCATTCCAATCAACACGCTTGTAGTCCCATAAACGTAAGACAAGCATAAAGATTACAACAGCAGGGTGGGAGCCCCACTCTCCCCCCCACCCCGGGGCTCCAGCCGCCTGCAAACGCTCTTGACCAAGCCCCCACAACTGCAGACAAGAACCCTCCTGCTAAGCGGTTGGGAGAAACAGCCACAAGGTTGTGTTTGAAACTGGCTGAGGTGCCTTCGCCAGGTCCAAGAAAGAGTCAAAGTCGCGAGAGGGCACTGTCCAAGCTGCACAGGTGCGCCGATTCTTTGAGCTTGTGGCTACATGCACCAAACTGAATCTTACAGAGACTTTTGATAAGGCGAGTGCTGCATCTCTAGTTCACTGTCATTCCTCGTGCCATCAGAGCAAGGCAGTCGAAGTTTGCGAGATGATCCTATCCAATCGAAAACTTGTCGCTCAGAGAAATCCCGCCCTTGTCCCAGCTCTTCAAATGCATGTTGAAGTCATGTGTGTCTTTCGCCATGTTGATTGCGAGCTTAAGGTCAAGCGGCGCATGCTGCGGGATTTGGCCATGATGTCACTGTCCGTAGGCCTGTGCCTCAATTGGTGTGTGAGTGTGTCTGCGCCATGCATCCTTCCAATAGTTTGAAGGGTGGTTGCCAGGCAGGCCATTTTACAAACAGTCAGCTGTGTCCCGTCAGGATTTGAAGCGCGGTTATGGAGAGTGCCTGGCTTAATGCTTTGTCAACCAAGTGCGATTGTGACCTGGATTGGCACACAATGCTCCACGGTTTCAGGTGGTCTTCAAGCACCTCCGCAGCATTTGTGACCGCAGCGGAAGTGACCATGTGGTGGCTTTATGTTCGAGACTGCTGCTGGAAACCCAGAACTGCCAGAACCTGACGAGAACATACTCATACTGTCTGCCGAGCCGCTACGACGAAGCGCCAGGTTCACACATGCAGACATTGACGGCATCGGGTCTGGACATGGCCACAAAGCTCTGGCCTCAGCTATATGCCGCATGGGCAGCTAAAAAGTTGTGCTCAAGGACCGTGGAGATGCAGCCCCATGGGAGCAGGAAAAGTCGCGCAATGCAGCCTGGGGTCACCGTCGCCAGCTTGGTGCAACAGAATTTTTGCAGGCAGATGCGAGCAGTGATGCCTGCACTCGATGGATGTCAAACATGTCAACTTGGCCTAGGCCATACATATGCTGCAGCATTCACTGACGTACGCAGCTGGGCGTTGCGCAAGCTATTACGCAGGCATCATACATGTTTGTGGCCCTTACTGCCTGTCATCATGTCACGGGCCGTGCAGGTTTGCTGTTGAACCTGGCTGAAAATCACTTTGCAGGCCCCGTGCCTTCGGCCTTACGCTACTCTGCGCGCACTTCTGCATCATCGCCTCCCAGCACCCTCAGTTGCAAAAAAGCTCTCTTCGTCGCACACGGCAAACCTATGTGAATTGAGAAGAGCTCAGCCCTGATGTTTGCTTGGAGATGCTTGGAATTCGCAATAATTCGCATGTCTGTCGCTCACGCTCTGTCATGCGGCAGCCTGCGCGGCCTCAAAGCTTTCCAGCTGCTTGGCGTTGCAATGCGTTGCAAGGTATCCTTTCGCAGTAGCCGAATACTCCCGAGCACATCGTTTGGCACCCTTCGCCATGCTCTTGGAGCTCTTGCATCAGCATTCTCAAAAGCATGGTGGCTCGAAAAACTGTGATTTTGATGCCAAGGAGCCGCTCCCAACTCTTTGCACAGCTACGGACAGCAGCTTAGTCATGCAACATCCTGCAACCTCAGATCTTGCGATGCCCCTGAGAGTCTGAGAAGGGTCAGGGCCAAGCGGCATCACTCTGATGCCTGACATTTTTCTTGGCCAGCTTTGACTGGGTCAAAGGCTTGAGGACAATCTAAGCAATCCTGGAAACCAACCCAACAGGCGGATGGAGACGCACAAAAATCAGTCAACAACAGCAAGCGCAAGCCGGATAGCACGTCATAAAGCACGTCCCTGGTCTGCAGCGCACTTGCCTGAAACTACTAACCACTGTACGGCGGCTTCTTAAAGACAATCATTCTGGCTTCAGTGCTCGATGCACTCGCTGGTTGGATGCTTGGCGAGGCGTACCTCTCCTTCTCAATGTCAAGAGCTGTGGTGTGCCGTCTGGCCCTTCAGATTTTACACAGGCTGCTACGGTCCGCCATACTAAAGCTTTGAGCTTTTGAGTTCCGAAGGTCATGATCTCATTCTTAAGGGCTTCACCTTCTTGCAGCGGTATCGCCGCCTTCGGCTTCGCAATGCAGGCTCCAGAAGATGGAGGAATATCCTGAACTCAGTGCAACGAGCTGTCGCAAACTCTAACGTGAGGCCTGTTTCCACTTCAGTCATCGGAGGAAGAGGCGGCGCCTTTTTTTCAGAGCATTATCGATTCGTTCCAATTCGTTCCATCGATCACATTACCCGACATTGGCATGATTGCATCCCTACGCCTCTCAGACACTTGTGCTCTTGAATCTGCAGGAAGATCCATCGATCTGGGACGGACTGCCGTCAGAGCAGCTTGCCTTTTTTGTGGCCAGTGTCGGTGCAAAGTAATGGAGATGTGGACCTGCATCCAAGGCGGCAACCTTGGGAAGATGCGATATCAGACGACCCGTCCCCCTGGCTAGTCTGAATGCTTTTCAGACAGATCGTGCTACCATAGCTTGCAAAGCGCTCAACAGCAGAGCTAGATGCAATAAAACCCAGTGTGGGTGGTGGTCAGCCAAGGAAAAGAGTTTACTTTTGCCAGGTTGGACCGCTTGGCCATCCAAGCAGAGGTTGCATACAACTATGGCTCACATCTTACCGAAGGTTGTCAGCCTTTGAAACGGACCATAATCGCTATCGGCGCATACTAGCTTGGCCTGAGGCCGAGCGTTTCATCAGCTGAGCATGGTCAACCTGGCTGTGGAGGCTGCGAGATGGGGCCCACGGACACAGTTGTAAGAGCTTCAAGGCATTTAGATCAGGCCTCAAGGCATGCGAATTTGTGAGAAGATCTTGCAATCGGTGTCCACAACTTCACAACCCGTCTTGCCACCTGCCATCTTCTCTAACATGGCACAGCAGGGTGAAGAAGGCAAGCTGAGTCCCTGGATGCGATTGGAGATCCTCCTGCTTTTCGCAATTTGGCAAAATCAATATCACCAGAAGCAGGATGGTGTTCGTCGTTTAGGCAAGCTGAGTCTTGATCAGCATGTGCTTCATGGCAACGTGAGCTTGCTGGGACACATCTGCACTCACGTTGACGGTGTCTACCTCTGTAGAATCATCTCCGCAAAACGCGTTAGCCCTGCAACACCTAAGGAATTGCCCCGTCGCCCCCAGCCAAACAACCTCATGCTTTGCGGGAGGAGCACACAGGAGGGTGATCATTGTTGCAAGTGCTGCAGGTTGTGGCACTTTGCTTTCACTTGTGTAGGCCAGCACGCCAAGTCCAGGTGCAAGGGGTTGAGGAATCAATCTTGGGATCCAGAAATCCAGACTCAAAATCTGGATTGCTTGCGCTGGGGTCAGCACCCCCTTCAGCTGAGGGCATTCCGTGACAACGTTCCTTCTGTCTGGCTTTGCATGCAGGCATATGAGAGCGCACTCGATCTCTGCGACGGCATCGGCCCAAGAATTGAATCTGTCTGTCTTCATAGTGTTCTTACGCATGCTTACACAATTATATTTTTCTTCGGCATGCCATCAGTTTATGGCATGTTTTGAGCACTTTGGAGACGCCAAGGTGTATCCCAGTCAGAGAACCAGAGGATGGGGGAGCTTTAGTTCAAACTCTGCACAATGACACCGGATGAATCCTGCGACCGAAGAACCCGTCAACATCCATCTCAAATGAACTCCCTACCTAAGCCTTGTCAGCAGCCAGGACAGACCTGATCATCCTCCGGAGATCAGCCGCATGGAATCTGGCGTATCTGTACAAGGCCAAGCGTTTTTTGCTGAAAATCACCTTGAGCTCTTCCACTTGAACTCATGTTCGGTTGCTTTGCGCCATCCATCTGTTTTCTTAGAGGACATACCACGATTCACAAGCAAAACGTACTCTAGTAAGTGCTGCAGCTGCAGATCTATAGATTCCATGCTTCCCATGGCTGGCAATGAAGCTGGAAGAGAGCAACACGTCCACGACCAGTAGGGCAACTGTAATGTTCGGTTGCCAGATGGCCACAACCAGTTCATTACAAAGGCACCAGCCTCTGGCATCGTTTCATCATCCAAAAACACCTCGAAACAACCGCTGCGGCCCTTCCCTTCTCTCCTCCCCTTTGAGGGCCGTTCCTTTCTTCTTTTCCTGTAAGTGATTGGTTGCTGCAAAATTTTTCGAGTGGCAGAGAATGTGAGAGATGCCAACGGTTAAGAATTGTCTACAAACACAACTTCTCAGGCGCAGGGCAGTGCGGAGCTTGCGGCCGAGATTCTTTGGCGCCACATCATTTGGTGACTCTGCTCAGCGAGCTCCAAAGTCTAAGCCATCCAGAATGGGACGGCTGTCGTTCTAACCCTGCAGAACTTACTAGGCCTTTGGTTCGGCAGAGGATGCCGCTAGGCAAGCCGGCCGAGGAGGAAGACAATGATGCAGAGAAGCAGTCCTGGAGAAATGATTGCCAAGGAGGCTTAAGTCAGGGCAAATGTGCGGGAACCGCGCAATGGACGTACCAGAATGGGACGAGCTCACAGAAGGATCAAGCTGTGGAGGCTGCTCTGGCTTGGCAAGGCTGGCCAGGCGCAAAGAGAACCAGCCCTTGGTCACAGTCTCCGCCCATCAGCCCAAGCCTTTTCCCCATTCTGTTTAGTCATGTGTGAAGCTTAGTGGCGAACGACGACGAAGCACGAGGAGAACTCAGTCACGCAACCAGCAAACAGCACTACAGTCATGGCAAGTAGGACACTGGCCTCGAGACGTCACTGTACGACATGGCCTGTTAGATGACAACAGGAGAGCAAATTGCCTTCGCGCCGCAATGCACAGCAGCGGGCATTCCGCCATGTATTCAGTCTGCAGCAGAAGAATGACTTCCCGAATGGGCAGGCGTGTGACCAGGAAGCGCATGATCTTCCAGCCGCCAAAATTGCCACATTTGCCTGCATTGTGAGGGCATTGATTTCCTAGGTCAGAGTGTTGTCACCTGGGGCCTGAGGTACAGCCAGGGTTGAAAACTATAAGGCGACTGCATGGAGGGCGTGTCGGGTGTGCGAGGTGTTCTTCTTAGCGGGGGACTGACTTTCGGATACTTGCGGTAGGTGTGAATTGAAGCCTCTGCTGTCCAGAAATTGTTTGTTGCTATTTAGTTCAACTTTGCCGATCAACATGCCGAATACATGAATCGTGAGCTGGCTACAGTAGAATCTGCATTCCATGAAGTGCGCGCTCTACATACTTGCATGTTCGGTCTTTTTCCTCAGAACATTTTGTTTGCTAGACCCCAGCCTGGGTATATCTGAAGGCAGGAGCTACAGAAGAAGGCCAGCCGAGCAGTGAGTACTCAGATCATCAGCAAGGAACCTCAAATGCCGCATGTGTACTCCGTTGGACAGCAGACTCCAGTTCACAACAAACCAGGGCAAAGTGGTTGGCAACATGTATGGCAAAAACCCTGAAGTTGATTTAGGACACAACCCAGGAGCCTTGTATGTGTGTGTGTGTTGTTTTGACCGCCCTCATGGCTTCTTGGGCGTATAGGCTTCCGCAGGCGAGGCAGGTGTTCTACAGTTCTCACCATGCATAGGAAGTGCGGAGGATCACAGCGTGAGGCTCAAGGACGTAAACACAAACATACTGAAGTCCGACTTCGAAAAGGTGTCGGAGGTTTTTGGGCTGCTACTGGTATGAGTAGGGCGGCCAGGCTCAGGATGATCTTTAATCCAACTTGGGTATGACATCCGAAGCCATTTGGTTCAAGTCATTGGTTCAAGTCAAATAGGGAGTGCATCGCAACAGTAGACCATGTAGGCAAACATGCTGAGACAGTCCAGCATTTGCACGTCATTCGAAACAGTGATGTTCCCTTCTGAACGTCCTCTTTGCTTGGTGAGTGATCTTAGCTTGCGGGGTTTGGCGTTCAGAGGTGCTGATACTTGGATGACCAAAAGAAAAGTCGCAACAGAGGCAAAAGATGAGCGCTAAGAATCCTTTTGTGACCGAATAATCGCTTCGAAGCCATGGCCGTGAGTGTGTCGGTGGCGTTGTTGAGCGGGCAGTGTGTGTCCCTTGAGGTTTCTGCAGAGACCATACTTGCCAGTGTACGCCTGATGGCACAGGCAAAGATGGGGCGCACGCTAGTGGCTTTGCTTACGCCGTCTGGCATGCAGTTGAATCTGTTTAGCAGCGTTGCCCAGAGCGGCTTGGAGGACGGAGTTGTTCTGAGTGCAGTTGCACAGGCTGGACCCAAATTACGATCTCACCGCAGGGCAAGCACATTTGTTGCCATTCTAGCTGATGGCTCCGTTGTTACCTGGGGCCATCGTTTCCATGGTGGAGACAGCAACTCCGTGCGCAACCAGCTGTTCAACGTGCATGACGTCTACTCAACTAATAAGGCCCTGGCAGCAGTGAGGGCAGACGGCTCAGTAGTTGCCTGGGGCCACGCAGACCATGGTGGCGACAGCTCAGCTGTACAAGATCAACTCCAGACGGTCGAGCAAGTGTTTGCCTCAATGCAGGCTTTTGCGGCATTGCGCAGCGACGGAAGGGTTGTGACATGGGGACATGCGACTCATGGGGGAGACAGTCGCTGCGTTGCAGCGCAGCTGGTGGATGTAAGAGAAATCTTTTCCACAGAGGCTGCATTCGTGGCAGTGCGGGGTGATCGGTCTGTGGTAACCTGGGGGCACGAAGAGCAAGGAGGTGACAGCAGCACCATTGTTGATGAGCTGGTCAACATTCGAAGCATCGCCGCCTCGGGCAAAGCATTTGCAGCTGTGCGTTACGATGGCAGGGTCATAAGTTGGGGGCACCCCGAGTATGGGGGTGACAGTTCAGCAATGCAGGACCGATTCGGGCTGATACTGGTACCTAAGACTATCAGGGTTTCAATTCGAGATGTTGCCTTGCCCTGGCATGAAGTGATGCGCGGGGGTGTGTGCGAAGACTACTGCTGCCGGGCGCCACCGCTGCTGCTGATGCCAACACCGCTGCCATCTCTGTTATTGATGATGACTTGACTTGCCACGAGTAGGAATCAACAAAGATTCTTTCAGCGAAACATGCATTTGTGACCAAAGCTAGTACCAGTAGCACTGGGAATGAGATCACAGAAGATGCTGCGCATGCTGCCGTAACCTGCGCCGCTGCCACCACTAGTACTGCCACTATTGATGCCCACTTACAGATTACAGTAGCAATGTTAAAGCACAAGAAGTAGAAGTGATAATTTGGTCTGGCAGTTTTTCTGCAGCAATTGATGAGGAGCAGCTGGTAAATGTGGAATCCGTCCACAGCTCCAGTGGTGCCTTTGCAGCCATCCACACAGATGGAACCGTGAGGACCTGGGGTCATGCCTTGAGCGGTGGTGACTGCCGGCCTGTTCAGACGCAGCTGACAGAAGTCAGAAAAGTGTTTTCCTCCAACAAGGCCTTCGCAGCAGTTTGTACAGGTGGCAGCGTCGTGACACGGAAGCAAGAATTGTTCGTTGCGTTTGTTTGGTCGACATGGCTTCATGATTGAGTAGTGTCTTTTGCCTGCCAGCTGTTCAGCCAGTTGAGTGAGTGGCAAGGTGACGTGGGGCCATCCACTGTACGGAGGCGACAGCCGGTCGGTGCAGAGGAACCTTGAAAAGGTGCGCGATGTGCAGTCTGCCGAAACTGCGTTTGCCGCAATCCGAGAAGATGGAACGGTCGTAACTTGGGGCCATCCAGAATATGGTGGCTTCAGCAGTGGCGTGCACAGCCAGCTGAGATTTTTGGGATGAGAAGTATTCGATTTGATCGTGCAGTGTAATCGGGCTTCGAAATGGTAAGCAATTTCATACGATGAAGTAAGAGCAGTCGTGAATTCTCGGTTTGGCTCAGGAGACGTGCAGCAGGTTCATGCTTCCTTGGGTGCCTTTGCGGCCCTCACCTCAATGGGAAAGGTGGTAACCTGGGGTCATCCAGCATATGGAGGCGACAGCAGCGCAGTAGCCTTGCTTGTGCAAGCACGCCCTTTTTATGTTGTATTGCATCTTGAGAACGCAAGCTAGCATCATTACACGTGCTACTGCCAATTTCCGTTTCTGGCCATGTTTCAAGATTGCATGTTCCGCGCTCAGTCGAATAGGTCCTAGGTTTAGAAACTTAATCCTTTCTGGCTGCCTAACTGGTAACGGGTCCAGAGGTGAAGGTAGTCATCCCTGTGTGCGCTGTTGATTTTGGTTTCCAAGTAACTCCAAATGCCGGGGACTGGAAGTCCCTATGCTGTCCCGGTCAGCAATAGACAACATGTACCCCAAAGATAGCAGTGAACATGGGGAATGTTGAATGTGAGATGAACAAAGTGTAGCATTGCACACTGGAACGCAGATCTCAATGGTGATCACCACCCGTCCGATTTTCATGCTGATTGACCAGCCCTAGTTATCTTCAAGTAGCCTTGATGCAGAAACCCTAGGGGGTGGTAACATGTGGGGGGTAGTGGGAGGAATCCATAACAGACGGGTTTTAAGTAGTTTAGATTACAATGAAACCACACGGGGTGTCTACGGAAAGGCTTTCGGTAATTCCTCGGCCTCAAACGCTAAAGACTAAACTCTACATTGGCTTGATAACAAAAATCCTGCATGGCCCCATAGCAATTCAAGTTGCGCAGCAAAGGGGGTAGACCTACTCCGGGATTACCTCAAGAAGCGTTGATTTTTGCAAAAAACTTTCATCCGAAGCAGTTTAGCAGTCATTAGCAGTCTTGCGTTTGATTAGTTGACAAGGCAGGGCATAGTTTTTCGAGCATCAGAGAAGCAAGAAAGGTACGCGAACAACTCCGCGACATTCTCGAGGTTCACGCTTCCAGTGGCGCCTTCGCAGCAGTGCGTGCTGATGGGGCTGTCATTACCTGGGGCCACCCACTGAGCGGCGGAGATAGCCGATCCGTTCGCCACCAACTTGCAGCACAAGTCTGACTCAAAAGCCTGTATCCAGCACTTGTGTCGGTCTTGCTCCAGGTGCTGCTTCAGAATCAGTCAGCTACTGCTAGGGCGTAGGCCATTAGCAGCTTTAGGCCGATCTAGAGATCTAGATGCAGTGTCGCTTGTTCACGAGTGAAGTAGACAGGCAGACTTCCTTCCGCTAGTTGATGACAAGTTGTCAGGGTTGTCGTAATGTAGGTCAATCTAGCCAGGATTGAAACGCAAGTAACCCGCCCATGGTTAACTTAGATTTGCTGTAATGATCTGGAGATATTCATTCTTCGTTATTCCAAATCTTTCATATTGAGCGGCAGCCATTTCGATTCTATCAGAGAGAAGATAGATCTATCATTTTATGATAAATGGCGATTTCGAATTCAATAAATCATCTTATGGAAAAATATAGATGCTATTATCTTCTTCAAGAACTTCGATCTAAATTTCCTCAAATATTTTCATTCTAATTCGATAGTCCTAATTTTTTCTCTAATAAAGAGAAAAATAAATGGATATCTTAATTCAAAAATAAAATGAGAAAATTATCGATTCTATTATAAAAATAGAAATATATGAGATATTATTTGAGGAGAAAGAAGATCATCGTAGGAAGGCAGAGTCTAATTCTTATCAAGAGATATAGTATCTATTTCAAATCTATATGAAGATCTAAAAAATATTAGGTACGTAATATTATTACTGAATATAATCTATGAAAGAAGAAATATAGATATATCATTTCTGAAATATTCATCGAAGACCCTATCAGAGATTTATTAGAATCTCTCTATGAAGAAATATATGAATAGAATTTATAATATAAATATAAGAAATGAATAGCGTCTATCTATGATTAGATATAAAGATCTTTGAAGCTTTCATTTTATAATAGAAAATGAATGATCTATTAATTCTATCTGATCTGGAGGGCGGAAAATCATAGTTGGTGAGTGATTATTAGTTCTTGCAATAATATAATATTTTTTATATAGCTTGTAATTAATATCAATTTTCAAATATTGTATTCGATATTCTCTAATAGAATTCGGTTCGATTTTCAGTGATTACGATTCTTTTTGAATATATGATTTCCTAAATAATATCTTTCTCTAAGAATCTAATTTTAGAATCGGAGAAGATTTTATTGGATATATAAATTATATGAAATAGAAATTCAAAATAATATTTATAAGAGAAAATCGTTTATATATATTTATAATAATCATTATGAATTATCGATCTCATTGCTGATTTAAGAGAAATTTTATGAAAATATAAATAGATAATATTTATATAATGGAAATTCAAAGAAAATGTCGTTTTTTTTATGATATATCCTCAAGCAATCTATATATATATTTGATACGATGATATATCGATTTATATCATGAATTATCGATTGAAAATCTAAGAAAAATATATAGAATATTTTGATTTCCTATAAATTCGATCAAAATCATAAATAATTTCTATAAATTGATTATTCCGAATATTCTGGATATAATTATCGAAAATTATTTCGTCAAAAAAAAGAATCTTATTTATCTCTAAATTAGAAATAAAAATATGATAAGAATATTGAATTCTATAAAATAATTTTCTTAAATTCTTCAAAGTCAAGATAGAATATCTCTAATTTTATATTATTTTCATTATAAAATATATCGTCTAAAATTAAAAAATCTATATTTTAGACATAATTTTTCTTCATTCATAGAAAAATAATGAAATGAAATACTAATTTCTAAAAATGGGAATCGAATATTATCTTGAAATCATACTTTGCAGAAAAATAGATATAAATTTCTAAATCCGGAAAATATGAATTCTTCGAGAATATTATGATCTATTATTATATATCAATTTTCTATAAGATATCCTATTCTCGTTAATATTAGAGAGGATCCGTCGATTCTATCGATAGATATATCCGGATATATAATAAGGAAATCTCGAATCTTCAAAGAGCCGTCATCATATTCATCTTTCGATATATATCGAAATTAATCAGGATCCGGCTAACAACTCTATAGATGATATCAATAGTATTTGGGAATTATATTCCTCCCTAAATTATCCTGATAACGAAGAAGTTCTCTCCAATAGCTTCTTTATATCAATCCCTGCTGACAGTATCCTATCAAAAAAAATCCTAGCAATAACGTCCTGAAGATGAAATCCGGAAGATCCTTTCCCTATATAATATTCTGGCAACAACGCCCTGGCAGCAGCTCCCCGAGCAATAGCAACAGCCCTGGCAATAATCCCGCTGGCGAAAGCCTCCTAATAATAGCGTCCGGATAATTCCTCGCCCTTGGCTCGTATGCCAATAATTCAATATATAGCAATCTATCATCAATATTCTAGTAATAGATAGCTCGCCCCCAAATATATTCGTTACGACAGCCCCCGGGCAAGAATTCCCCGACAATCTAGTAATAACGCCCCTGGATCCAATCCTCTGATGATAATATGCTTGGCAATAACGTCCTGATTACAACGCCCGGATTCTATTCATTATATAAAATCTTGATAATAATATCCCTGGCAAATATATCCTAATAAGAATCCCCAAATAATCTTGATCCGCATATCGTTGATAGAATTCTTATGATAATCTAGGAACGGGTTTCGTATATCCGCCCCAATCCTTAATATAAAGAAAAAATCTTGATAGATCCTTCTCCGATCTAATAATCCCTGATAATATATCCCATCTGGCAATAATAATCTGCCAATCGCGTCGTAATGTCCGGATAGCGCCCGGACAGCGTTGTTATAAGATTCCCGCAAAAAATCCCTCATGATATCTATAGGTCTAACTATATTCTTTGGTCTCCGTCCGAGAGCTCTCTATCCAATATCCTATCAATAACGTCTCGATATCAATAGCCTTCTCTTGACGGTCCTGAGAGCAATCTTCTATTAATAGCGGACTGATAGCGCCCGGCCCCTAGCCCGCTGATAGAACCCTGGCAATAATTCCCTTACGAGTCCATCCCTTCAATAACGTCAATCTCATTCGTCATGATGCGAGATCTAGGGAGGAGAAAAAAGGGAATTCTAAATTTCTCCGTGATTTCAATAATATAGATCAAAGAAAAGAAGGCAAATTCGTGGATTTCAAAGAGAGATAAATCATGCGGAATACCGTTCCGGAGGAAAGCTTCCGAGGATAAAAAGAAGAAATCTCGCTATTCAAGATTTCCAATCTTCCCATTCGTTTGAGAGAAAAAGAATCTCCAAAAGATTCGGCATCCGTATTCCAATTGCGAAACCCCGGCATCGCCCGCCACGAATTAGACGGGAAAGAAGATGCCGAAAGAAGGAAAAGCAATAACGCAGCAGCAGACCCTCAAACGAAATGGAGAATAAAAGAGAAAATGAGATACGCTATCTCCAATCATCTATTCGCTTCAGATCCCGTCCCCTCAAATTCAGAATCATCATATCCTGCGCGTGGGATCCTATCAGCAATTCCAATGATCATCCTCCCTCAGAATATGTTTGCAGGAGTTAAATAGAACGATCATAGATTTTGGACGGGCTCTGGTTTTGGTCCCTAGCCCGCTGCAAGCAAGTATGCCCATATTTCTGAATCACGAAGGAAATACGTTGTTTCAATATCTGATAGGTAGATCCAGTCTTTCGGGGTAAATTATCATCGATACCTCGGCAAAGCGAAATCAGAAAACGATCTCCTTCCGGTTCCAGGCCTCTAGAATATTCAAAGATCAATGATTCAAATCCTATGCCCTGAGATTGAAAAAGAAAGGTCGTACGACGTCAGGTCTCCAGAGTATATATTAAAACCCCCGCCGAACGTCCAGGGATCTAATATCCCGCAGAAATAAAGATAGAAACGGAGATAATGCACGAGTAATATCTCAGTGAGACCTTCGCCCAAAAGACCTTCCTAAAGGTAATTCGTCATCCATCGCTTCGGATCTGCGCTGAGCGGCAGACAGAGAGAGAGTTCTCCGGGAAGAGATTCAATCAAAAGAGAATAGAAATTTCTTTGAGAACGCTCTTCTATATATAAAATAATAATTATAACGTATTTATCCAAATCTCATAAGATTTTATTCTTCTTCTTATCTCCAATATCCCCCTTTGAAATATCCTAATATCAACATCCATAATTTCCTAAAAACCTTAATTTGCCGAAAATTCTCTTGTAATAACGTACCCTCCGGGCAAAAGCATTCAAGAACAATAAGAATCATTTCCCAGCTTTCAAATAGGCACCCTATTAAGAAAATCTTTCATATGAAAAAAATAAATTTAGAATTCTGTAATATTGAAGTAAAAATCGAATCCCATAATATTTTCTTATATTCCAAAATTATCATTTATCAAATATTATAATCATATTCTCAAAAAATCATTCCTATATATTGTATAGAATATAGAGGACAGTATATTATATATCATAAAAATATTTTTCTAATAAATCTATTATTTTTTAGAGAATCGATCCGATAAAATATATACAAATAAGAAAAAAAGTAATCTATAAAATTAGACGTCCGAATCACTAATATATGTAATACTAATCAAAATATCTGAATTTAAGCATATTTCAAATATATCAATTATATTTTGCGAAATCGTATCATCATCGTCCCGCGCCGCCATTTCCCAAACGTATCGTTGCGCCGCCGCATCGCCCGGCCCCCGCGCCCTACCGCCGCACTGCCGCACCGCCAGCCAGACCGACCAACGCTACCCACCGCCACCGCCACCGCCACCGCCACCTACCGCCCCCCCTCCACCGTCACCGATCCCGACCGCCACCGCCACTTACCGCTACCGCCACTAACCGCCACCGCCACCTAGTGCCACCGCCACCACCCCGTAGTGCCACCGCCACCTACGAGCCTAGCTAGCAGATTGCTTGAACGGAAGCCTTGGCGGCTTCGTGTTTAGTCGGGACCGGTTTCCCGGGTCCCGAACCGCTTTTCCAATATATCCAGGATATTTTGGGAAAAGCCGTCTGGGCGCTCTGCGAAGAGGTGGCAGCTTTATAAGCTTATCATGTTTGCTAGGGACAAATCTTCCAAAAAAAAATGATTTTTTGGAAGCTTTATTGAGTATATTTATAGAGTAAATATGCAAATGTTGTATAATAGTGCAAGGTTATATGTCTTTTTTCGATCTAATATGAAATGAAGGTACTTTAGATTTCATTTCTTATTTTCCCTAATTTTAACCTAAATATAATTTTTCGTTCAATTCTTTACGTTTTACGCGGCATTATGGCATATTCTTCTCTTTCAAGTAAGCAGGAAGGAGCTTCTGATTCAGCGAATGAGGGAGGGAAGGCAATCTTTGTCCGTCATTGCCCTCCCCATCTGCAGCTTAATTCTAAATTAACGTCTAATCAATTCAAAATACCTCACATTCCGGTATCTTCTGCCTCAGATAACGTAACACTTGCGGCGAACGGCAGAACAACACCCAAAATTCCTTGAGCAAAACTGAGCCGGCTGCCGCGTTCGATAGCCTCGCGAATGCACCGTTTGTATGCAGATTTTGGTATATAGTACTTTCCCCCGACTAAGGGAACCCCAACATAGACCCAAAATACGATGATCCTTATTATGAGGAGCCCTAGAAAGGTACCCCTAGTTTTGGGAAACCCTGTATGTGATTGCACCAGCTCGCCTGCTCAGAGCCGCATTGCGGTCCAGGCCATCCAGGAGCGCCGGGAGGAGCACTGCCGAGACCTCACAGACTTAGGAAGCCCGGTTAAGCCAGCTGCTTTGTGAGGGTTCCTAAAACTGAAGGTACAATTTTGGGGTTCCCGACAACAAGGATTATAGTCTATAATTATAGTATCATATTAGGGTCTGCTTTGGGGGTGTGCCTATTGTTGGCAACTGCTTCATAGCTCAAAGGCTGACGAACGGACGTAAAGTGCCACGCCAATTCCCGTGATGAGTGGTAAAGTGGCCTGGAAAAGCCCCATAGGATTTAGGCTTTAAGGAGCCGTTTTGTTGGCTAGGAGCCACTACAAGCTCTTTTCAGCCAACTTGGCAAAGCACTTGCGCTGGCCAGCAACAGTCACAAGTCAGCGCTGCCCACCTCGTAGCTAGCACCACCTGCTAGCTCCACCGCAAGAACCACAGATGTGATGGGAACCTGGATACGCAAATCACGCAACAGCTACCGACCAAGCCATCAGATTCGCAACTGTTTGGCCACATCCATCTTCAGTTGTTGAGAAAGCGACGCTACAGTTTGCAGCCAGCATAGAGGCCATGCCCACAACAATATAGGTCGTCGTTGCCTTGCTCACATTGCACAGACTTGTTGCTTGAAGTTGATACTGGCTTATTGCTGCCAAGCATCAGAGTGTGCCATTGCTAATCCCTGCAGCGCAGTTCATTGGCTAAACATGAAAAACGGATAGAATAGATTCCAGAGATGTGTAACGAATTGAAGCGAGCCAGTAGAGATGGGAACCATCATGACCCATTGAGAGGACACCCATTGATAAGCAAGGAATGCGTTGAAACCACCCCCCGAGATTTCGTTCGCCCAAAGACTTCCCCTGTAGAGGCACCATGCCAACGGCTCGGTCAGGCACCGAGCACTGCAGCATGTCTACGACTGCTCGCAAATGCACGGTTGCCACAGTCGGCCTCCATCAATCGTCCAAGAGCTCCTCCTAAACAGGCACCCACATAGATCGAGGGCGCAAATGTACCTGGCAAAGCCGGAAGCTCTAATTAGCAAAGAGCTGTAGCATTTGGGTTTGCACCTCCAACTAGACCGGTTGCGGAGGAGAAAGACGTTGCCATGATCTTGACTACCTGCATGGTGCGGAATCCCCTCCCGGCTATGAAAATGTAGCAGCCATGAAAGCAAGAGGAGGGCACCATGAGAACCAGCAGCGTTGCAGCACCAAAGAGACCAACTGAACCGCGGTCCTGCAAATTGCATAAGCATGACAAACTTTTTGGTGGCACCTCGGGAATTTGACTAAGATGAACAGCATGATTCAGCATGGTAAGCTTTCAAAGCCATGTGTTTGCAATTTGGATATGGATATACCTGTTGCCGTGTCCTGCAGCAGCGGCTCGAGGCTCATGTTGGACATGCTGAGCGGTTGGGAGGCATCCTTCAGAACTTCGTTGACCGCCTCACAAAACCGTCTCAGACACTCCTTGCTTGCGACTGTGGCTGGACTCGCACCCCGAAGCCATCAAACTGCACGCGGGAGTTGACCAGAAGGGAGAGCAAAACCGTCAGCAGAGCGCCTGCCTTCCGCAGGTGCAATTTCACTGTGCTGTATGCAATTTTGCGGTCAGCTGAGGCTCAAGCCGCTGGTAGGAAGATTGCTGGCCAACCGTTGTCCGCTAGGAAAGAAGCCGCGTCACGTGCAAGTCCTGCAACCTTCTTGTAGCCATAAGCCACGAAGCCTGCGTCATCTGCCCCAGCACGCCAAATGCGCTATAGGCTATAGGCAATGCCCTAGCACAATTTCTGGCTTTTGTGCGGCAACTGCAAAGTCAACAGGCCTAACAAAATGCAGGACCGGTGCGCCATGCCTGTGAGAACTCCAAGCAAAAGGAAGGATAACAGCTCCTGAGCTCTGGAAGGCAAAGGTGTGCGAGCAAGACAGCAGAAGTTGAGCATCCAGCAACATTGCCACCTTCCCACGCAAAGTCGTTCGTCTTGATGGCTGGTCCACCCTTAAAGCTGTGACTAGGGCCGTAGATGAGCAGAATTTCCGCAAGCTCACTGCTAGCACTCCCTGAGGGTGCAGCAGGAAGAAACGATTGCACAACTGCTGCACTGACTGCTGCGGCCAGGAGCCTTCGCGAGAAAGAATGTAGGGGTTACATCCGGATAATTGGAAATAAAATGGAAGCTACTATATTAGAATAGGGTATATATATCGGAGTTATATTGGGGTAATGGCCAAGCATCGGCTATCCGAGCACCGCTCGGTCAACGGGCCTTGTCGTCAGATCTAATTGGTTATCATCAGCAGGTCTGACCACCTGAAACAGACAGATAGTAACTTAATTTAAGTTCCTTAATCCCTATATTCCCCCAGTGTCCATTCCATTTTCCATTTTCTTTTCCATTTGATTCTCCATTATAGGCCACTATGGTAACTTAAAGGGGACAGCGGCTCCCAGCTGCCACTTCTTGGAAGCCTCCGAGGCAAAGAAAATGCCTGCGATGGGCGCATTAAAACCTCCAGTGTCGCGAAAGGCGAGAGCTGGAAGGCCCTACAGTCATCAGCTGATATCAGCTGTATATCTATTATTAATTATAATAACAATAATAGTATTAATACTAAGATTAATATTAATATTACTATAATAAATATTAATGATAATATAGCTGGAAACTCCACGCATTTGAGCTCACTAGGCCCCGCTCCGGCAGCAACTCCTGCAGCCGCTCCAGACGCCAGCAAGGCATCTGGGTTCTGGTTCATCCTCCCAGAAATGTGGTTACACAGCTCGTTCCATATGCCCTTCACAAGGGCGCAGTACATTGCAAACTAAACAATTTCGTTGAGAAGCTATAAGTCGCAGCTCATTCGCAGTACTGAAAACTGCAACAGCTGACGAGGATCAACACACGTTCATTGCAGGGCAATGTCACGACGATAGGCACCACACACCCTCTAACGCACCCTGTTTAGCAAATGTCGAGCATCTGGTGTATTTGCACGACAGTTTGAAGACACCATGCGCGTGCTTTTGCACTCCTACTGGAAGAAAAACAACTGTTGGGAGAATTTGCCGTCTCGGCATACATATCGGGCGCGGTACTACTATGTTCAAGACGGTGATCAATGTGCGCAAAGGCGCAAAGCTAATCAGACTGTTGAGTGCCCCTGGCTGCGCTTCCAACCAAGTTCCACGAGAAGCTAAAGGGAGCAGGCTAGGCAAGTTGGTGCACATGATGTGAGATAGGGGTAGTTTGCCACTGTATGGTGCAACAAGTGCCATTTTTCAAGATCTCAATGCCATCAGCGTCCCACTGCGCAGGTGCCCCTTCAAATGACAAGGTGAGTGACCAACCAAGTCCAAAAAGGATGTTGACAGCTTTGTGCGCACTTGTCGCCAGCTTTAGCTAACTACAGTAATGTGCCGGGCATCAGTCCTTGCCATTGAGCCCTCCGAGCGACCGCCGCAGGCTTCGAAGGATTTCCGGTCCACGCTCCAAAGCACGGCATCGGTTCTTGCCTGAAGCCAGGCGCAGACTCCAACGGCCACAATGTCTCAGTCTGAATGGAGCACATGGCGCCTTGACCGTGGCAGCGCGAGGCGCTCGAAACAGCACAGCGAGCTCGCCAACCACTGCACCGCTCTTTTCGTATGTGAAAACCTTGTTGGCAGGGACAACTGCAGCTTATGACCCGGCAACAGCTGTCCGGAACAGCAAATATCTCAGAAACAACTTGCCGAAAAGAGCATGAGGTGAGACAATAAAAATTCAGCTTACAATTTCTGAATGGACGTCGACAAGGGGCCTTCTTCTCGGCCTCACCATCCGGCACGTACACGTCCAACAGTCCCGTCTTCCTTAATGCCGCTGACATGACTGGGGAGTTCTGTGGCTGCCCTGCTACTACAAACAACCCAACAGTGTTTGTTGTGGCAAAGCTTCGTGACGAAAAGGCCAGGTTCGTCATCACTGACCTCATGGCCGTAGAATCCGCTGAAGCAGGGGCACGTGTCTGTCTGTAGATGTCTGCGGGCTCGTCTGCCAGTCTCCACGTGGCCTCAGCTCCGAACTTCGTCACCGTGCTTCATCAGGTTGTCGCCTGCTTGGAGCTTGACCTTCACTTGTTCACAGGCCACTTACCCGCCATAAGACACCTTTCTGATAGTACCCACCTCGCGGAAGTACTTGAGCAAACGGTCCAAATCCTGCTGACAAAATCTAAGTTTGCTGAAGCTTGTACAAATGCGATGCGGTGCTCTTCTGGAATCCGGCTTGAGCATACATGGCCCTGTCCAGCCTTTCCAGGCAAACTTGCAACCACCTTGGAGCCCTCCAAAGCATTCTCGATGAGCTCGCGATCCTCACGCAAAACCAGGTACGCCATGCTCAAATATGCGTTGCACAGCATGCAGTTGTGACACACTTTCCGAAGGCCTCTTGGCTCGTCAACTGCCCAGTCCCCGTCGGCTCCTTTAGCTGCTCTAGATCATGCAGTCAGTGAGGTCGCCCCCCGAAGAGGAACCATAGAGAATTGGGAGGCGCAATTACCATGAGGCGTCGCTGATGAGATACGGCTATGACATGGCTATGAGTAGATCTCCTCTTCAGTTTCTTCGGCTCCGAAGATCGAGAAGACCTGCAAGGTTTTCTTGTGCCCGGAGCTGTGCTCAGGAGTCTGGAGTGTGCAACCGCAGGACATAGAACAACATGCCATCATGCAGTATTGCCAATTGCCTGCTGTGCGCTTGCGAGTTTTTTTTGTTTCCCAGCTGTTCCAGTTGGGTCGCCTGCACTGCCTATGTAAATCTGCCTAATTTCGCCCAACACGAGTGCCAACCATGCAGTAGCCCAACTCCTCCACCAAAGCGTCAATTGGTGAAGCCTGCAGCGGCGTGAACAGAGTGATGCTGCAAGCAAAAACCTGGACAGGCCTCGGTATGCTGGTTCAGCTCGTCCTGCCTTTGCTCCAGATTCATCAGCTGTAACAGGGCTTGCTTCTGTGAGTGAAGCACATTGGAAAATCATGAATACACAGCAAGAGACCAAAGGAAGAACGGCACCAGAAATTGATCTCGCTGTATTTCGTGGCATTTCAGAAACGTTTTCTGGAAAGCATCCTCGGCTTCTCTCCACTTGAATCCATACATCAACTGACCATTATGTCTTCAACCAACTACTCACTTCTCTGCATTGCGGCAAAGTTTCCCGCACCTTCTTGGCTTTGGTGTGCTTCAAATTGCGAAATATCACCTTGTATTCAGTAAACAGGACGGCCAATTGCCAGGCTCGCCTGAAGGAGGTAAGCCGAGAGCGTTCGTCTCATAGTAGTTCGGCGGTGAGTACTTCCTAATCTGCACCAGTCCGAAGCTAGGATGTGCACCAAGCTGCATTTGCAGGTGTATGACGTGCTTTCTTTTTGCATTCTGAAAACCAATTTACTGTTGCCCTCACTGCCCTTTTTGTCCGTGCTGCCAAGACTCCGACCAGCATGCGTCAGCTTGCCCTGGTGCATCTTTTCAAGAAGTTCCTGAAGGGCGAGCTGCAAGAAATACTCCTTCTCCCTCTCAATTTTGAGATGTGCTTCGTGACCAACATACGACTGCACAAAATTGGCTCAGCCAAGTCGCCTTCCATCGGACCACATTCTCTTTTGATGACGCAACCTCGAAAGGACACGTCGATGCTTAACTGATAACTATGGCAGCTGGTTTTCATGCAAACCAATCCAAGCAACATACTGAACTCTCTCCGTGAGCATGCTGTTCACTTCCGTCATGAAGCAGTCAAACCCGTCTTCTGCGCACGACGTGTGGTAACCCCAATTCAGGAGAACCTGGCCAGGGAAACTTCATGCTCTGTTGAACACCTGCCAGGTCCCACACGAAAGGAAGACTACGGGAAGCTGACGTGCGGCCACGTGGCAAGGGCTTGCTTCCTCCGCTTGCGAAGGAAAGGTGCAAGTCTATGCAAGTCCACCACAATATTGCCGTCGTACTCAACCAACCAATGCCAGGTTCCTTGCAGGATTGCACGGCTGACTGCCACGTTCACAAGATCGCCAGCATCAAACTGACCATTGACCAGGGCACCGTTCATCAGCCAGCGCGGTGGCGTGAACTTCCTTGAGATGACAGCATGGACTGAAGCAGGAATGATGACAAACGCTCTGATTTTGGAAGCTGGGTGGCAGTGACTTGCTCGTGAGTCTGGGTCCAGAGACGTACTTTGTGCCTGTCAAGAGCAGAAAGCGCTTGCAGTGCCTGCAAACATTCTTGTACTTCAGTCCACCTGGGATCTGCGTGTGGTTCAGGATGCGCCACCCGCGTGCTTGCCAAAGCTTCAGCGCATTGTTGCCGAAACGCCGCTGGCCAATTTCCTCGTATGGCGTCCAGGAGCAATGCCAGCAAAGAAATGCGTTGTTGTGTTGACGAAATGGCTGCAAGCAAGCTCAAAGCAAAGAAATCCGCTGACGCTTGACTGAATATGACATCCGACACTTGGCTGGAGACATGGTGCAGCTGACCATATGAGTACTGCGTTGGCGATGCATGTCATAGGCTGAGCCTCGCACGTCTACAAACCTCAGCACCATCGTCGAACAATGCATCGAAAATGAGCAGAGCTCCCCCCGGCTTTGCTGTGCACACTCAAATGACGAAAACAAGCTGTCTTGCACGATTTTGCGGGCCAGCCGCAGGAAAGCATCCACTTCTGAAGGGACACAGGGAATAAAGTCACCACGCATGGCCTCGTAGCCGCCTGAGCCCAGCAGGGTGCCTAATGAAGCAATGAACACCAATAGGACGCGAATTGCCACTTAGCAACCGATGTTGTATGTATACCTTGCGCAAGATTGCCAAAGGCTTCCAGGATACTGGCTCAAGCCCACACATGACTGCATCTTCTACCAAGGCACACTGCGATTCTTGTCTTTGTCTTATGATGGTTCCTGACCGCGTTCCTGTCCGGATCGCAGGTATAATCCTCACCTCAGCCAGAAGATGAAAAGTCATCTATAATCATACTTGTATGTTATGCACATAGCCAAAGCGCAGCAGACAAAACAGACCCCGCGAGAAGTCATAATTGTATTCGTTGTGAGGCTTTTCAGCGTCTCCAATTTGCTCCTGCTCCCGTGCCAAATGTCCACAGGTGCTTTGATTTGTTAATCCGCTGCAAGTTTGCGTGGGGAGGGCAGCGCAGTACAAGACCCCTTCCCGATTCCCGCATCCACGCTGGCGCCTCGACTTATCCATCCTAGCTCTCTCCCTCGCCATGTCTAATTAATCGGTCTGGGCTTTGATACTGGCAAGGATGGCACTCTGGCACCCGCAAGCTCTGCCAGGAGTCTTTCGTGACATATGTTGCCCAATATTTGGAAAGAGGAACTGCAAGGTGGCGGATGGTGATCATCGACCTTCGATTTGTCCACCTCGGTTGAACATACCACTGCACCAGCACCTGGATTTCCAGCCAGAATGCCGGTCCCGCGTGTGATCAAATAAGATCCCTGCTCGACCGGATGTGTCCAGCAAGGCTCCATCCTTGCAACCAGTTATATCAGTTGTATCAGGCATGTAGGCATCATCTGGTTTTGTGGATGTCCAAAATCTTCAGCCAAGTGGCCCCGTAAGCACCGATTCGGCGCATCAAGCGTGGGGATGCCCATGCCACATGCAAGCTGCTAAAACCTAGGCTGCTATGAAGTCCGTGATTCTGACCACAAGGTTCGTTAGGCTGAGTGCAACTAGTGCAACCACACCAGAATGTCCAATACCAACATGCCGCGGGCATTCCGTTCACCTCAGACAGACGTCCATGCAGCAACGGCTCACTTTGGATTCAGCAGGGGAAGCACAAAACAAAACCACCTGCTCTGAGTTCAAGCCACGCGGAATGCAACATGGAGGGCCTGCTCTCTTAGCGCGGCTCGAGCCGAGCGGCCGCTGCCAAACGCAAAAAGCTGGAAGCTCTGGGAGCTGCGAAGCACGAATTGCTTCCAGGCACCAAGGTGCAGCCAGTGCAGCTGGCCTGGCCCAAACCAAATGCAACGTTGGCACCTCAGATATCATCAGCCGCGACACATTCCGTGATGCCTTGCATCGCTGCATTCAACTCAGTCACAAACCCAAAGTCGCTGCAGGGGCTTCAGGACCTAAGGAATTGCCGGAGCCCAACGTGATGGCGGCTGACCTTGATGAGACTCTCCGATGTTCTTCTGCGATTGCAGCATTGCAGGTCCAAGCAATCTCAGGGCTTAGCAAAGCATTGGCTCCAGCCCTGAGCGGCCAGTTTGCCGGTGGTTCAGGGCCGCCTAGCACATCTGATTGGTCATGCAAGCCTCTGGACTCAGCTAGAGTTGTTCAGCCTGCGGCCGCGTAGGACTTCCTTGGCAGCCACAAATCTGCTCCTTTATTATGGCTCTGCAGCAAACTTCTGAGCGAACAGCAAGGACTTGATGTCCGTACCAGCAAGGCCATCTTTGCCGCCGAAACTGGCGACAAGACCCGCCAGTACAACTGCACCTGAAATTCGAGCTTGCAATTGTACCAGGACTATTGGTGACATGGGCGAAGAAGTAACATCTCAGACTGGCTTTGGCATTCTAAGGCACCAAGGATGGGGGCCATCACTGGCATTGGAAGCTCTTCACGCAACTCCTATCGGGCCCACGGATCACACTCGCGCTTTGGCACAAGTGCAATAATAGGGTCCTCGAATGTTGTGATGACTCCCTCAAACAGCACCACAGCGAAACCTTCATCCGAAAAACGGCCGTACAGTCATACGATTCTCTAGCTTCCACGACGTCTGCTGGCCGCCTGTGGACAGGCCAATTAGCGCGCTGCTAAGCAGAACCTTGAGCCCAATACTCTTTGAAGGTAACCACCTTCCGAACAAAAGGGTCACCAGCTTGTAGGCCCACGGCAGTAGGACCTTCGGGCCCAAGCAATTTGAAACCTCATCAAATGGAAGTTCGAGTAGCTGCGCTAGCATAACTTTCAGGTGATTGAATAATCCTAGCCGCGTGACAGCAACTTGCTGCCACGTTACTAGCAGCCCGAGCAACTCGCCCTCGCAAGGTTGCTAGACTGTGGGGACGGTGAAATGACTGCCTGGACAAGTGCAATTGGTGCATCAACCGAGCCCTTTGTAGCGAAACCATCGCCATCGTGCGAATCAATGGCCAACAGCATCCAAACACCCCTAGAAGCACATGCGTATCTGTCTGCTGGATGTTCACGGCAGCCTCAACGCAGCGCCAAAAACGGCAAGGCTGACGCAGTGGGCCGTCGTTGGACCCTGACATGACCGTGATGCAAGTGCCCTACCCTTCCTGCAACGTAGACCCTGGCCTGGTATCTTGCTGAGGGCTGTGGAGGCACGCCACCAACACCCTGCAGCAATGCACGACTCACACCATGAAATGACGCCCTCAGCCCCAGCCCACCTCTGTTCTCCATCGCACACTTCTTGCAGGTTGCGAAATGATCCAACAGCTGCCTTGCATGTGAAGAAACCGAAAGTCTGACATGTGGTTACAGGAGCTTGACACAGGGGATGACATCTGGCGCACCTGCCCCAAGGATGGCTAACGCGACAAGAGGGCGCCGAGGCGGCATCATCCTGCACTGCAAGCACGGGTGAATATGGGTGACGGCTGATGGATGCTGATGGTGATGTGATTACGGAGATGCATCGCCTGCAAAGCAGGATTAGTCGCCGACCCCTTTTGCGCTGTTGAGCCTGCAGGCGTTGACCTGCTTACTGTACATGCCTGCGGAGAGATCTGCTTCTGCAAACAAGGCACAATGTGGACCTGCCACCCCATCATGCTGACAGTGCCAACAAAGCTTGACTGATCATGCTGTGCATGTGCGATGGCGCAGCACTTTTTCCAAGCTCATGTCGGAAAAGTCCTTGGCAGTAGCATTCTGAACCCATTTACCTCGAGCATGCTTCTTGGGGTTGTAGCCATGGCCCCCTTGAGATTCAGCTTCCCGTGCCCGAACTCATCTCAAGCGGACGGCCTTTGCCTCACTGCAAAATGACTTCCTGGTGCACGGTCAATCAACAACGCGCATCTCGGGACCGCAATGATCGTAGCACGGTCAGTCAACAACGCCTTTCCCTGGATTGCAACGATTGTAGCTGTAGCACGCGGCTTCGGTGACAGACGAATATCTCGGCGGAGTCCGTGACCAGCTCTGCTGGTTCATGGAAGCGTTCCAGCCTGGAGTCGCTGCCCCTAGAGTCGTTCACGGCCTGTTCTGCGTCTCGAGCATCTCGAGGGGGTGGAGATGTTGGAGGGAAACACCCACACGCCCGTCTGAAAGTCCGACCTTACCAGTACAAAAACACCGGACTATCGGGAGGAAGTATGGGCTTTGGTTGTCCCAAGATTTCGTGTTTGATTCTCTTAGGCGATCAAGCGCTAGGGATCAGATCGAAATAAGACATGCATTCTAAACCCTATATCCCAAACTTAAAACCTTTTTTGGTCTTGAGGCTGCCTGGGCTCACATGGCACAAACCATGGGGTCCAATGTTCTAAGAAGTGGCAGGAAACTACCTACAAAAAACAATGTTCCTTCTTCTCACCAACTCTTGCAAGAAGAGTTTGCAGTGCTAGTATGGGACACAGCGGTTGAACGTTCAAATAACTTGGTTGTTTACTAAAAGTGGTTGTTTGCTAAAAGGTTTGTGCCTTTTGTAATCCACACCCAATAAATGGATGCATATCCTATATGGCAGGGGGTTGACCTGAAAGGTGTGGAAGGGTGTGGATCGCGTCATGACGGCAAAAAATGAGCCCTTGCGAGGGTATGGAAGGGGTACGGAACCGAAAAGAAAGGACTTGATGATCCATGTTTTATGGCTTGATGTGGAGCGAATGTCCCCGCGCAGCTTGCTCAAAAACCAAAATGTTCGGAAACACGCAATGAACTTCAAGCCTTCATTCCTTTTGCTTGACGATGGCAAATCTACAGCAATGAAAGAAGGAAGCTAGGCAACAACAATGCCGTACCCCGAATGGTCACATTTGAGGTTTCAAGTCTCTGAAGGTTTTGCAACTCTGTGCAAATTTTCAACTCAATTCACAGGGTAACCTTGTGGGCAGTTCGGCCTCTGAAGGTTAGAAGCTGACACAGCAACGGTCAACCCTTCCAAAAGAAGCTTACACAGCATGTGCCACAGCTAAGCCACAAATTGATCACCTTGCAAAATGCGATTCTGCCGCCGCTGGCATGGCCTCAGAAACTAAGGCAAGCTGGCCACAAACTGGACGGGGAGTCTTGCAAACTCCACAATTCACTTGGCAATGAGCGCATCTTGAAGATGTGCTGCAAAGGACGCATAACCGCCACCTTGAAGCCCATTAGATCGAGACACATCAACTGACAACGGACATCAACGGACCTCGGCGGTTCTTGCATAAACACAGCCTCAGGGCTCGGCGGTGCAAACTGCGAGCATATCCTGCGTTCAAAGGAAATGACGACTGTGCTCGATAGGCCCCTCCCCCAGTTGCCCTGCTTTGGCCAGTTCCTCCAAGAAGCCGCAAGTCTTCCGAGTTCAGGCCCTCAGCTAGGAGCCTGAAAGGAGCACAGCATCTCCACCAAATATCCACGGAGTGTTGACAGCATAGTGGTCCTTTGATTGCGCGTGTCTCCGGTGTCACGATCTTGCGTCATGACAGGAAGTGCTAAGCACCTTGGCAAATGCGATGCATGCCAATGAAAAACTCACAGGCTTGAATGCAAAAACTAGATTCACCGGAACGCCGCATTGCCAAACCTAGAATTTGATTTCCCTGCCCTTGCTGGAGTGACGCTCAAAGCTCACAGTGCCAGTTTGCCGAGGTCCGATCCAGTCATCCTCTGGCAATCTCTCTGTGCCTTTTGCGGGCGCAGTAGGCAAGGAACCATACTTCGAAAACTATTTCTGCTTGGGCTTGGGTGGTACGTTGCTGTGGCAAGAGAGACAGCATCGTTGCTTGATCACATGGTCACTCACACAATGCCTACACTGTCAGCAACTTGGTATGCAAGTTTGTCACCTGTCTGAATCACTTGATTGTGCTGACTGGTGACAACCGGATCACCCTGTCTGTCCCACCTGGTGAGTATTCCATGGCCGCTCTGCCATTTCCTTGCATGGAAACCCAGCAAGTCACAAAACCCATAATTCTTTTGTACATGCCACTGAGCTGACACCGCATGTGTGATCAGACTGCGAACGAGTACTTGACTAAGCACCCCGCTCACATATTCTCCAGCGCCCGTGCCCTCTTCTGTGTTCCAGTGATGCAGCAATTCCAACCTTGGCACTGCGCATGCCTGAATTCACATGCCGCCATGCTATGGAGAGCTGGCTGACAATCTTGATAAGAAAACACTGTGGGCACATCCCAAGGGACCAGCGGCTTTGCTGGGCACTTCACCAACCTGGCACAAGCAAATTTTGAGGCCCAAACTTTCGATGGACCACATGCACATGAAGCCTCCAAGCTGCGCCCAAGCGACACATGGTAAATGGGTACACCTCGAAGCCGGCCACGGCTGCGAAATTTGACCGCTTTACAAAGCTCTCTATTTGCCAAAGAGAGGCAACATCCAATGGCATCTGCCTCGAACAAGGTAGTCAGTCAATGGAAGTTTGCCATCTTAAACAATCCACAAAAAAATTGTGTTGAAGCAGTCTTGCACTAAGTCCCAAGCCCACCCCATGCTTGCAACGGATAGTGGATGTGATCCTGCCCACCATTGATCAAGTTTTGCCAGACAGGGAGACACATTAAATTGCATCCTTCTCGGTGACCCACCATGCTGACTAAGATTGCTTTGATCCTACCTAAACTTGATCGCAAAGCCCACCAAGCCGCTGACGTTGGAAATTGTGCGTGACTTGGAATCCTGACGGTGTGCGAAGCACCAAAACTCAAATAAATTTCTTTCCCTGGCCTTTGTGAAAAAGAAAAACTCAAATTTGCATGGAGCTCGGAAAGTCAAGCCTCGTTCAAGTGCAGTCAAGAAAGGAAACATGTTTGCAAATCATGTTGAGCGCGTAGCTAATGCACACAAGCTTGTGATAGTACCTCAGCATCTGCACGATCGACACGCAATCGGTACGCGAAGCATGCCACAAAATCTCTTGCTTGGACACTGGCTGCAAAGCACATGGTGGCCAACCACGGGTCTTCCAGCAAAAGGCTTTCAAACATGCTTAAAAAAAAAAAAACGGCAAGCCAGCGAAGGCACGCCAGCCTGCAATTCTAATGAAATTCTCGTCCCTTCCCGCTGCCAATCGCTTCCTCAAACAACTGTCACTTCAAATCTCCCGCCACTCATGCAACAATCCATGCCTTGCATGAACACCATAAGCTCTGCATCATTGTCGACAACATCCCACCTTCACAAGCGAGAAAGATTTGTTGGCTGACCTNNGTCCCCCCCCCCCCCCCCGCAAATTCAATCACAACTGAGGCGGGTCAAGGCATGGCAGGCAAATACCAAGTGCGATCGCAAAGTCACATGAGGGATGAGTTGTGAGCAAACAAGCTGATTAATGTGTAGACGTCATAGCAAGGTGGAACAATGGAAATCATTGAGCCATGTCATTGAGACTCCATGTTATGACAAACCGCCAAATGAACGCAAGGGTTCGTTCCACTGCCAGCAGGATAAGGCTTGAACTTGTCTTTGGAAAGTCTTCCAGCCGGGAAATCGCCATAACCTGCTCAGTGCATGGGTCGACAAGCCCCAAGCTAAGGCAGCATGCCAGAATGACAACTGCGCAATTTACAATTTATAACCTCTGTGATACTGCTGCCAAGACGCGCAGCAGAGAGATCAGGGTTCCCTGGCAGGGTACCTCTCAACCCATTGATCGCCCCACTGACTTCGATGGGGTGCACTGCGCACGTAGTCCATTCCGAGATGATCCAGGGCCTCGTGGTCCAAGTGCAGGCTCTGGGGAACGCTTGTAGCAAGCAACGCCACCTCGATGGCTTCCGCAAGAGCACCTGGCAGAACGTCTGCAGGCATTCATCACACATCTGCCTGAAATGCCTAAGTCCGAACCTCGGAAAGAGGATGTGACGAAGGTCTCATACCGACCTTGCTGCTTCAACAGCAACTTGCTATTTCCAAGCCATAATTACACTAGGATACACTGGGTCCCACGCGGTCACCAACTGCCAGAGCCAGAGACTCTATTCGGTCGCGCTGTGCAATGTCAAGGGCGGTGATGTACGATGACCTCATTGGCGGGCACCTCCCGACTTGTCGTACGCAGCCCTGGAAATTGGAACAGGGCTGCTTCAGTCACACAGTTCCCCCCACGTCTAGTGCGCTGTGGGGACTGCAAACCTATGGTTTGGGCAGAGCCATTGCCATTGCTCGGAATTAATTGTACATTCTTGCTAGTTGCCCCCAGGAGCTCTTTGGCTCAGAGCCTACTTATATGGCTGCAAGAAATCACCCTCTAGCCACAAATCGTCCAAAAGACAATCCTAGGATATCCTAGACTGAGCAGGTGCCTCGCCTGAAAACAAGAAGGTTGTGCATAAGTGCCGGTCCCTGAAATCTAACGATGATGTCAACACAAGCAACCCAATATCGAGGCGTTTGTGCCCTTGACACTTCACAGACTCTAGTAAGAGCGCAGCTGCATCAGCATCACAATAGCCTTGCCAGCAAAGTGCATTAGATGTCAATTACTCTGTTATTACTGTTATTTTTGCTAGCAGTACCATCATTACTATCATTATTAATTTTACTGCTATTATTCCTATTATTACTACTACTATTATTCCTGTTATTATTACTGTCATTTACAAGGTTCACGTCCTCCCAGCGATCTGGCCTCATCTATGTCGGCCAGCCTCAGGCCGCCAGCCTACAAGAGAAAATCTGGGTTGCTGTTATGGAACTTAATTTAAGTTACTATGTTGTGGAAACCCTATCATTTACTATATAATATACCTATTATGGCAACTTAATCTAAGTCCCTTAACAACCCAGAAAATTGGACTGCGCGCACCACTTTCAGACACGCAAGCCTCACTCGTCATGTCCTGCATTGCAAGCAGTAGTGAGATTTGGTGGGATTTGCATGAGAGCTTTTGATTTTACAGTCTGCACCAACACGTGTTCAAGTGATGGCAGATGCGCGGCCTGGCTCGTATGCGCACAGATATACATAGCAGCGAACACTGTCCTGGACGTCAATACGTCCAATCATCTCTCTATACAGCCTCTGCTGCATGCTCGGGCCAACAGGGGGATCAGGAAGCAGGCCAAAGAATCTGCTGACACCGCTGGCTAAGGGTTGAGCATCAAGTAGCGCGCTGTCTGGGGAAAGACCTTCAGCACGCCGCCAAGAGGGCGACATAAGAAGGTAGCAGGTAGCTGAAATAGCCATCAAAAGCGGTTTGAGTGGATGACCGAATGTAAGAGCTGCAAGCCTCCACGCCATTGTGTGAGCACAAAGGCAGCCTGGCAAAACAAAGCCATCAGCATTTGCTTACGAAAGAATTCTCAAGAGCACTGCGACCGAGGCCGATGCGGCGTGAAGAGCAACACTGGCGGCAAAGCCAGGCAGCGCCTGCGAAACTCCCCAAACTCTCCATCAAAATCCACAAGAAACGACTGAAAGCCACAAAGAGCCTGCGCAACTTCTTCAAACAATCCTTTGGACCTGGGTCAACTGGAGGCATCACCTGCTTGTAGAAGGTAAAGGAGCAGCCACACTGCGTCCAAGCTGCTCCCAATACCTTCGACAACTGATCTGAAAATGTTGCCAGAAGCTCAACAGATCTACACTAAGACTGTATCCAAAGTGCTCTGCCAGGCGTCTTGCATAGAGCAGCACCTGCATCCGAGCTATGGCACGTGCCGTAGTCTAGTAGCCAGACACTGCAACAAAAGTACACAGCGTTGCTAGCGGACCTTCTCTGCAGCTAATTTGTCCGTTCCTGCCCCAATGGAACACAATTTGCTGAGGCTCAGCTTCATCTTCCCCACACACAGCAACCTGTCAGCTTCACCATGCCTGCCAACGCATGCTGCCACATTCGGCGGCAAAAACGAAGGTCCTGCAACGCGTGCTCGGCCGATCTGATAGGACAGGCTCTCCGCACACGAACTGCCAACCATGCAGGCAAAACCTGACCACGGTCACATTTGCCACGACTTTTGGCCTAGAGCATTTGATGCGATCGATGAGCGGAACACAGCCAGCTCAGATTCAGGGAACCGACTGCAAACAAAGCAGTGAGATTGCCGACGGACCTCAGATGCTTGCAGGATGGTGGTGGCTCGGAAAATCCGAAAAGAGGATTGGCATGAGGGGAGGCTTTCGATTTTGTGCTAGTCTGCTTGTTCATACCTTGCGCCTCACCTCCCTCATTGCCCTCTTCTTGTGGCCTCTCATTCAAGTGCAAAGCTGCTATGATTTTACGCTTCCATTTCCCTATGCCCGGAGACAAAATATGACCAGCAGATACCAGCAGATTACAGATCATCAAGGTCATACTGAGCAAAACGAGCCGTTTAACCACGGATGAGCTCCAGTGCACTGGCCTCTACTGCAACTGCGGCACCTCTGCTTTGCTACAGCGCAGTAGACACCGGCGGTGTGTGCATGCCACCGCGCCTGTTCGCAGAGGCCAGCTAGCTACACTGAGCATCTTTGATCTTTGGTGCAGGGGTGGCCTGTTCCCCACCACCCCACCAACCAATCACACATTTCTCGTGTTTGCCTTTTGCCTGTTTTTTTTTGATACAGGTGCGCAGAAAATGAGGTGCCACCTACGGCCAGTGAAAAGTTGCTCCATACCCTGTATCAAAAACGGATCCAAAAAAGTTAAGTTTTGACACCGAAAAACACGGATCCAAAGCTTTCCAGGATGGCTCCGCAGTACGTCACCCCTATGAAGCATAGCTTTCGCCAGGCGCGCATCTGCACTGGTCCAGGACGGCCAGGCCGGACATTTCAGATGGCAACCGCCTGGCATCTAACACCGCCAGCCCCCCGACCAAGTGTAGTTGCGCCGATTTCTCATTACACCATGGCCCTTTCAGCTTTCTTAGGTGAGCGTCGCCGTCTTCAACAAACACAGCACGTCACCGGCACCAGCTGAAGCCGGTAAAATCACCGATGCGGGCAGTGTGACACTGGATCCACAAATTCATTGCCTGTGCACTATTCCGCCTTCTAGAAGCGGGGTCCCGGCTCCTTTTTCAATTCGTCCCCACTTTGGCCGAGACAGCATTGCTCATAACCTCACGGATGCACGTGTCACGCTTCCAATGCTTGATTTGCTGTGAGCCGAGCTGAAGCGGAAGTCCCAACAGCCAATCTCTCTGCCAACCTGCGGGCTTTCCATCAGCACTGCAATCTACGAGCTTCCAACACGGCTGAGCGACATCTGGTGTGCTGCAGCATTTCTCGTAGTTGAAGTCTGCACTCCAGCAATTTGAGGGCCTGTGCACAAGAAGTAAAAGGTTCACAACAGCACAATTCCAATATGGTTGGATTCAGAACTTGCAAGAACTTCCTGCTGCACCAAATCTACTTGCATCACTTGGGACTGGACTTCAATACCGATGTGGCCATCTCTGACAGATGGCCTCACTTCAGTCTCCCTACACAAATACTAGCAAGAACATTACGGCCATGTTGCCGCAGCAGTGCTTCCTGGAGAAGTCGCCATCCCAACCTGGGAAACTGCAAAGTGAGCCCACATCTTGCAAAGCCTTTTTGTTGATAAATGCTTCCTTTTGAAAGGCTCAGGCAGTAGTAGCCCAGATGTCTTCCTAATGGGTTACCTGGAAGCAGCATGGGAGACAAGGCATGTTAGTTGCAGTCGCGGCACGCCTGAGGGCCAAGCTGCAGCAGGCCGCCATGTCAAAGCTGGCGCTTGGGAAGCAGCCCCTTACTATGACAACCGTCATAACATGAAGCATCTAGGACCTGACAGGAACTGCTGAAAGTATACACGAGTAGCCGGCGTGCCCTGCTGAATGACAAAGAGCGCCAGCTGCGCCTTACACATCCAGAGCAGGCTTAGATCCCAAAGACACACCCAAGAACACGCAACGTTCACGTGCTCAGGCGAGTGCAAAGCTGAGCACCTCCTGACAAAATGGATTCTCAAAGCGCTGAAAGAGGTTGTGCGTCTGGGCATAACAAGGCTCCTTGCCCCCCCACCAATTTAGTGTTCCATTCACCTTGCCTCATGAGCTTTGCTCGGCAGAGTCGCAATATGTTGGCATACCCGGAACCGTGGCAGGCCCGAGTTTCTGACCACAGCATTCATGTGCGAAGCTCTCGTCCTTTGTCGGGCTCCGGGCTGCCAAGCAGTGCGTCAAATCTCTTCCACGATTCCGCATGTTGGGGCCCCCTGCTTTCAAGCAGGACCTGTCGAGCCTGACACAGCATCTCTGATACCTGAAAGCATGAAGAAGTCCAAATCACAGGCGACAACAGCCAGCCGAGGACTAAGGAAGCCACGTCTTGCGCCTCAGATCGCGCGTGCAACGGAACATAAGCTTAAAGATTGTTTAGCTGCGCTGCCAACAGCTGTGAACAGATGCAGGCTAGATACCTCGTCCAGCAATTGGAACTTAAATCCTTTCTGCCACGCTGAGCCACCTGATGGGATGGGAAGCTTTGGCACATGCACAAGAAGATAGGAAGAGCATGGTGCTGACCTGCTGCAACCGGCCCAGCTGCCCCGGCCCCACCTCACTGTGCAAGATACGAGGAATTCAGATCTCTGGTCGTAAGACTGCTGCCCCTCCTCTGACATAAATACTATCGGGCATTACGTTCATGTCAAGAAACTGGTTGCGGTAGCGAAGCCATTGCTGCTGCCGCGTCGCCATCAGCAAAACTTGCCAGGACCCATGTGACGATCTGCTGCACTGCTGCATAAAGCTTGAAGCCAAAAGGTAAGGTTTCCCTGGAGCCCTACCTGGCCCTGGCTCCAGGGAGTGCTGGTCTTAGTGTTTCAAGCTGGCCCCAAAACCTCTCAGCCCATCTCCCAAAAGAGCGATGCTGCATGTTGAGATCGCCTCCAAGGATTGAAGTCTAGTTTCCAAGCTGTAGCCATGGGCCCTGCTGAATCAGTGGGTCATCCACTACTTTCAACTGCATGCGAGGCGTCAAGCAAACAGATAGATGGGACAATCTTCAAGTAGGGTTGCTCAGGGGGCAGAAAATACATGCGGATCGCAAAGGCATTTTAAGGGTTCTCTTGAAGTTCATCATCTGAATTTTTCCGAGATGGCTCCAGGAACCTCGCAAGCTATGACAAGCACTTGGCACATAAACTCTAACGTGGCTTGGCTATGCTCGGCTCTTTGAACAGTGAACGTTTGTTTTCACCCCGCTGTTAACCTGATCCCCCAGGTGCTGACTACTGGCCGTAGCTTTGAGGCCATGCACCCTTTGCTCAAAGATTGACGCACAGCCAATCTTGCCAAAGCCAACCTGTCCGGTCAAAATGCTCACCACTAGATGGCAGAAAAGTGGTATCCATGTCTGTCCTGAAACATTTGTGCAAGAATGGTCGGTAACACCCATGGAAGCTACTATTGTATGTTGGGGTTATTCTGGGTGTTTATAAGCATCTTGTCTTTTGACATTAGTACACCTGTGCGATCTGCTCCCTGAGGTGAAGAGCCGTCGAAGACCGCGCTGCAGCACGACTGCTGCATCCACCTGGTCAATTAAAGGGAAGGACCCAGGGTTCAGGGATAGGGTTTGGGTTTAAGGTTTAGATTTAGGGATATTACTTCCAATAATGGGTCAAATGGAAAAGAAAACGGAACATGAAATGGGAGCTGGGGATTAGTGGGCTCCCACAGTGCTCCCACTAATAATGAGTAGTACATTTGGGATCTATATTAGGGTCCTCCTATTTATGGAAATTACCATATAGTCAACCCTGAAGACGGTTCGCCAGACTTCTTGCATACTTGATTCACACCTGGGCTGCCGACATGCTCCGAAGGATTTTAGCCCAAAACCAACCCTGGTAGCTTCCCTACAAAGGGAGACCCTAATGTAGACCCTTATGTAATATAGGCCTTATTATAGGGACCCCCAAGAAGGTACCTCCAATTTTGGGAAACCCTCCCCAGGGCACCTGCCATGATTCTTGGAAACGATGCATCTGCTGCTCATCTTCGCCCGAAACAATGCCAGAAGCCTCCAGAACAAACACGCAAACAGTCCAACGATGCACCAGGCGCACTTGACAGTAGGAACATATGGTAGTTTCCCCAAATAAGGGGACCCCAATATAGACCCCCATATACTATTGTCCTCATTATGGGGGTCCCCAAAAAGTACCCCCTAATTTTGGGGCCTCGTCTTCCATTCGAAAAGCTTCCAAGAAGGCATCGAGAGATGGCAGCTGCGCGGCCCCTTCGCTTTGGTCGTCGACACCTCAAAGCTACTTTTCGAAAGGAATGAAGCCAGGACAACAGGCTGCTAGTGGTGGAAGGAGGCCTGTTGACTGCCAGAAAGGGGCACATTTGCAGACTTTTGGAGAAAAAGGACGGTGATGCATCACTACTTTCCAGGGATTCTGGGGTATGCCTTTCGTGCCTGCAATGCACCAGCTCATCCACAAGAGATTCCGAAAATCAGAGATTTCGGCTTGGCATCCCCGTCGTCACGTGCCGAAGACTTGCAATCTGAGCTGCTCTCACCCACGAGTCCATCCAGCATCTTGGACTCAGACTGCCAGACATGAAGTTCTTGTCTTTCAACTGTCATGTGCGCAGTTCGAGCCTGTGCCGTTGCATTCTCCAAAACGGGAAGGATAGATGAGGCCAATCGACCAGCAAGAGCCTGCGCCTGAGGAGTCTGGAGCTCTTGATCACCCTGTCCCCTGATGCTCTTGGCCATCGCTGAGGAAGGGGCACCTCGTTCTGAAAGCAGGCTCCCATCCCAGTATCCAGCTGCAACTGACCTGCACAAGATCTCATGAGACTCAACTTTTTGCTGGAAAGTGAGTGCAGCGCAAGGCCTGGGTCCAAATGGCAGCAGGGCCGCTGGATTCACCCACTCTGCACCGTCAAGTTCACCGTCAATCCAGCGGGAGAGACTGGAGTTGGTAGCGCACCGCCTTCACACAAGACAGATCGCAGACTGAGATAGACTGAGGACGTTTCAAGATGGGTCAAAACCCTGTGTGGTGGGCCGATGTGGAAATAGCGTTCCAGTCTACTGGGCGAGCGTTCCGGTCCGAAAGCTTGCTTCTGATCAAGCTTGCTGGCTGGACAAGATAAATTTCCGTTGGCCTTGCTGCCAAGGTCGATCCAACGAAGGACGCTCGCTGCGCCGACTTGTTGACGTCAGGGAGTGCCATGACAAACACCTGCTTGGCCACAGCCTGGCTCCCGCAAATCCGGTAATTCATTGCAGCGAGCAACTAATAGCCAGCACAAACATCTTAGCTCTCCTTTGCTTCATGGACGAGCCCGCGCATGCTGCTGAGGACTTCCTCCGGGCTGGCATCCCGCAGTCCCAAGTCGCAGCCTTATCCGCTCACAGGACAGGTACGGACAAGTCATCCTGCTTCGATCCCAAGCAGTCCAAGGTGCTTCCAGCCGCGAGTAGCAGAATGTCCGTCTGTAACTCCCGCAGCCCAGGTCCGCGCCGACCACGCATGTCTCGCAGCTCCGGCATGTCAGCGCCAGCAAGCAGTTCGGCCTCCGGTTCAGAAGGCATGCGCCGCTGTATGCTGCTGTACGGATGCGCAGATATGAAGACGAGATGCAGCGGTGAGGCCCTGGAAGAGGCAAACCGACACCTGACAGATGGAACAGAACCAGAAGCAGAACCCCCTCGTGCCTCGTGCCAACGCCACTTGTCACCAGCCTCCGCCGCACGCCCGGCAGCGGCAACGGCAGCACACAGAGCCACGGCGAAAGCAGAAGTAGCCTGTGCTGCGACTAGCCCTTCACCTCAGGCTCTTCGAAACATGCTCCAGCTAATCAGATCCAGAAAGTCAGACAGTCCCTAGAGCACGTTCTTATGTGCATCGAGGCACCAAAAACAGCCATCCGCAAGGGAGCCTCCGTTCCAGCTTCAGCTGTGCTGGCTATGGCCAAGGCAGACGAATGAGCATCGGCGGCTTTCACCAAACCTCAAGCAGGATGCATAGGCGGCACTATGCAAGCAATGGACATTCTGGAACATGGCCATGGGATCCTGATGTGCTGCTCAATACTTCCAGCCTCGCTGGCAAGACCAATTTAAGTAACAGAAGTTGCGAAGGCAACAAGCACATATTAAAAAAGGAAGGACAAGCGGAGCCGGGATGATTGCAGACGACGCAAAGTCAAGGCTTCCAAGAAAAGCCTATCTGTCACCCGTTGAAAACCTGCATGCCCGGGTACCTTTAGCCTATCAGACTGCGCGAGAAGCTATGCCCTGCACCAGGATCAGTCGCTTGAATCCCGAAGCTCTGTTTGCCAACAATCATCGCCATTTCATGGTATCCTTTGCTCCTGTCTGTATGCAGAACTTTGCCTATGCAGAACTTTGCCCAAGACTCCGCATGTCACGTGCAATTCGAGTCATGAGGCTTTCTTGGCCTGGAGCTCAAGCAACACACTAATTACATGTATCGTGAGCGCTTCATCCAACATCGCATCTCTGAGAGCATAAAATGCAAAATGCCTTCACATCACACGCGCATGATAGCCGCCAGGGTGCTCATGAAATCTGATCAGCACAACGAAGTGCAGCATTTTCTGAGCTTTATGGTGCCACTCACATGCCATCTCGCGAACCGCGGTCGCAACCTGTCAGGTATCAGCATCTTTCAGGAGGGCCGATGGCATGCAGGTGCTTTGCTGCCAAAAGCCTTGCACGCACCTGGATCCGCGCTAGATTTTTTGCTTCATGAAATCGCAGCTGGCTAGATGCTCCAGGTCATTGGCTTTAAGCCAAGGGGGAGCAGGAGGCCGCATGTCGCAAATGTCGGAATCCAAAGCTGATGGAGACGCTCTCTCCCAAGGGCCGAGGGGCAGAGGTTGAAGACCTGGACCTCAACGAGAGCACCGCGAAGAGCACCGTGAGCAACATGGTGAGCTTCGTTGGCTGCCAGCGCTTGCAGCCGCTGCCGGCCTATGAACCTGGAAAGGGGCAGTCTTGTCACTTCCTGGGCTTCACATGCAAGCAGAAGGGCGAACTCAGCGAACCTTCCAGCTCAGCAATTGTAGACTGGAGGGCACATATCTCAGGACTCGTGGGGTCCAAAGCAGCTGCCTCAGGTGCAGAGAACCAGGAACGAGGTGTGACAAGCAAATGCGGACCTGCAGCTGACCAGTCTCGCTCACATACAAATGCCGAAGCGCTCGTGTTGCACTTTCCCATGCGCCGGCCAAGTCAGAGAGCTCCTTTTGGCAAAGCGCCAGGCGATAGAGTCCCTTTGTATACGTAGGATCGGCTTCCACAGAACTTTGTGCATCTGCACGTGCTTCCTGATACCTGCGCGAACAGCAAAGCAGGCCGCCACAGGGAGGAAAGCACTGATGAAAAGAGCAGAACGCACCTGGAAAGGCGCATGTAGCAGTGGCATCGGTTGCCCAGGATCATTGCACGTTCCCGGGCTCCTGACCATGGGAGCTTCACCCGTGGGGAGTAGTTAGCGGCGACCGACAAGTTGTAGTTTCTCAAAGCCTTCGGAGGATTCGAGCAGATCCAGAGCTTCGGAATACAGCTCGATTGCCTCCCTGACCAAGCTCAGGTGGGGTCTTTAGTGCTGTTTGATAAACTCATACATCAAGACTGCTTGAAAATGCTTCTGAAATCTGCGAAGTTTAGGGGCAGGAAAGGAAAAGCAAGAGCCTCAAGTGTCCGGCTTTCACCTTTGCATTGCCTTGCGACCGCAGAAGCTGAGCTTCCACCATAGCGTTGAAGGACCTCCTGTCTTGAAAGGCATGGGCTGTCAAAAGCACCCTCTCCAGGTGAATGCACTGCGCCCAGCTCTACACTTGCGAGTCAAATCCGTAGAACCTACCCTAGGGCATTTGCATATCATGTGTGGATCGCTGCACACTTTTGAGCCACAAGACCATCAGGTACAAAGCTGGCAGGTATTGGCAGGCAACATAATGCGAAAAACAACATCGAGACTGCAGGATCTCTCCGGACGCTTTCAGCCGGTTGGGGCCACTTGCAGCTGGCCTCATCTTCCGCAGCTCACTTGAACACCGACGGCAATAGCAGCGAAAGCCATAGCGCCTAGCAGCTCACACATCCAAGAATCCTCACAACTATGGGCCCAGAAATGCGAGCCGAAGCTATGCAGGGTTTTTTCCATAGCGGAGTGCTGAAATGCTAGGTCAGGCGGGTCGGGTGCTAAGCTTCCAGCAGCCAAAGGGCGCGTCGACGTTTGCGCACAGGCAAACCGTCTTCATCCACATAGCTGATGGTCAGCTCCTCATCGAACGTCGGCATATCACATTTCAAGCCGAGGGCAGGGCGTAAATCCGACAGCAATCCTCGCCCTTGCGTATCCCACGAATTGCAGTGACTACGGCGGTGCTGTTGTGACCTGAGGATGGCTGCACGACAGTCGTCAGCTGCTGCTTAACAGTGAACACTCTCTGCACTTCAAGGATGCCACAGTAGTCGATCTCGCAATTCGGCCTTCGTGCCAGGCACAGGAAGTTGTCAGCGTGCTGCCGTTGTTGGTGTACCTCTCTACCTCCGAGATTCCCTTGCATATCCTGCCTGCAGGAGTGGTTCATCAATGCCACTCGTCTAGCCAAGCCAATGCCTAGCACGACGGGCAGCCCCTCCTGCAGGCAGACTGCCAGGACTCGAACACAGAGATGTGAGAAGATTACGAAGTCGCGGTTCCACGTAGGCCTCTGCTGAGTCCTCGACAAGCGGCTCCTGCGCCAGTTTAATCCCTCCGCTCCCACTCGCAAATGCGGCGAAACCGCTTCAAATCAGATTTGTCTGCCTTTTGTGTCTTGCTGAATCTGGCCACAGCGCAGACCACCCCATCTGTTCAAGATTATTGGATGTTACTAGCTGCACACAGGTCGGCACCTGTTGCCACCTGCGTATTGCAGCGTGCAAACAACTGAACTTCAGTTTCTTCCACTGAAGCGATAATTAATGTCGCTTGAAGCCTCATCACTCAGATTCAGACCTGCAAGACATTGTGAGACATCTCCAGGGTCTCTCCAGAATTGAGGGTCGGCTTACGTGAGATGCTTCGTGCATTCCTTGGGTCATGGCTCGTACATCATGGCATCGGCTTCGCTGTCCTGTCAGCCGCAAGGAAAGGAGGGAGTCTGAGGGAAAGTGGAGATGAGACATCCGTGTTGGCTACCAACACACCAAGGGCACCGGTCCCCAACATCATCATGGATACCAAAGATTGCTCCGATAAGACACGGAAGCAGGCTCACCTTGCAACATGCCCGCACACCCGCTTGTGGTTGGCACGTTCAAGGTCTCAGCGCGTTGCGACAAGGCCCCCCAGGACCGTAGCCCCAGAAACCCAGGCTGGCCAAATGTACTCACCTTGCTGCCAAGGACATGCGCCGCACAGCTTTTGCTCAAGGTGCTTGGCTTCCTCAAATTTGGCTTGAAAAGATATGAGCTGCTTCGGCCCTCATGTTCCCGTAATCTAGCAGCCTTACCTCTGATCCAATTGCATGAGTTTCACGGAAGTCTTACCAGCCTCAGAGAGGGGCAGCTGCACATAAAACTCGCAACCAAGTTGCAGTGCGGATTCTCGATGGGACATGCCTGCTGCTCGGCTGTAGCGTAGACACCCCAGCAGACAATGTTGACCAAGGCAATGTTCCTCGGGCTGAAATGGCGCTAGCGACCCATTCATGCTTCGGCTACGCAAATTGAATTTCAATCGAGCGGCAGCAATACCACCCAAACCCAGCGAGGGCCTGAAAAAAAGTCCAGCCGCATCCACTGTGTCAGAAGATCCGAAAGATGCCCAAAGTGCCGCTGATTGCAGACCAGTCGCACGTGTGGCTGGGCTGACAAACAGCATAGGGAAGCATGCTCAAAAGGTGCCTGAACCGTAGCTGCCGGGGAGCTGACTTCAATTTCTGCATGCCCTCCGGAAAAAGGATACCAACGCGGAAGCGGTGGGTGTTCAACTCCCGAATCTCTCCAACATGGACCATGACAAGCCTACATGCACTTGACAATAGCAAGGAAACTTATCCAGCTTAGCGGCGCGACGAGAAGAACGGCTGATCCAAGCGTAACCCTGAGTTGTGCTACCCTAGCAGCACATCTGCAACTGCAAGAGCCGTGATCGCCAGTCTGCAGGGCATGCTACAAAACACAATGGTCACAGGGCGCTACCAGAGCGGCCACTGGTACTTGCCACCCTTCTGGCTCGACCTTGCGCTCACATTTGCGTGGACTCTCTGGGCATCCAGTGCCACTTTAAACTAGATTTTGCAAGCCTTAAAGGTAGGTAGCGGTCCCCACCATTGGTTCTCACAAGTGCGCATCCGAATGCATTTGGGCCATGTTGGGCCGTGCCTGAGGGCCAACCAAATCGCCCACACGATGATGTTGATCAAAACCAAGACGACGGCATGCGCAGCAAAAGCAAACCTGGCATGAGCGCCAGTCACATATTACCGGTACCACCGGGTGAAAACGATATTCTTCCAAGTCGGGATTAATTTCTCCGTGGTACCATCTCAAGATACAAACATGCCGGTCAGCATCTCTGCCAACAATAGTCTTAAAACATGCAATACAGTTGAGATACCATGAGGATGGCTTGCTTGTCACTGAAGCCGAGAAACCGCAAATATCGGCCACACTTGACCTTCTGTTCGGCCTCAGCAAGGGTCTACAGGGTGTGCGGGTCAGATTTCATAGCAGTAATGGAAAACCAAACAGAAATCTTGAGGCAAAACGAGGTGAAGACTACAATTTAGGGTTCAGGCTTTAGCTCTTAGCTTCCAAGGTGAAGATTCCCCGCCTCAGCGCGCCTGACAGCCTCCCTGTCAACAAAGACTTGGCCATCAGCGCCGTATTTCACAAAGCTCGCCATGGCCGACAAAACTTCAAGCGATCCGCGTGTAAGCTGCGATCGGTGACGCAACGGCAGATGACAAGATCTCAAGAGGACATGAATGACGTCAAGGCGACTGTCCCACAAAGAAATCCGTCTCTCCCTCCCAGTCCTCGTGTTGACAACTCACGACCTGAGTTCAGAAGGAAAAAGGTGCTGAGGACAGAACCAAAAAGAAAAAGTGCACTCTTTCGCAGAGCCTGCTACGGCTGCTACGGACAAGAGCTTACTCCATGAAGCCCACCCAAACATGTCAGCGCCGACTCACCAACCCGTCTCCATGGGGCCTGCACTAAGCTGTCAGGCCCCAAAAGCCACACAATCACTGTGCTGCGAAGGCCCTCTAAACGTCCAGCTGAAAGACCTAAACGAGAAGCGAACAGCCTAAAGATAGATTGAGCACATAGCTAACTTGACTTGCCGTATTTGAATCCTCAAAAGAACAAATCATCTTTTGTTCATGCCTCGGGAGTGCTCTTCAAGGAAGCTAAGTTAAAGATGGCCAGGCTCTGGTTACAAATGATGTGGACAGGCAGCTTCCTTGGGAAAATTTCGCCAGCCTCGAACTCTTTGGCCATGCTGTTTTGGAATTGGAGAATTCGTGGAATCTTAAGAACCTTGCTAATCCGTGAGCTACTGGTACTGAGTGCCACTTCTTGTGCGCGTCAAAGCTGGAAATAACTCCAGAGACGTCATGTTATCTTGGCTGGACAGATATAGCCTCCCAAAGGATGGCGGAGCTCACGGTAGCAGGCCCCATGTGGCCTTAAAAGATGAGTAAGATCGACTGAGGACCTTTGGGTCATGCATACATCTCTACATTTGAATTGTTTGTGCAATCTCTGTCAGACTGCTAACCTGACGTCTGCACCCCGTAAACGGCTTTGCATCCTTCGATGTGTGCGTTCAGCTTTGCATTTGTCAAGCACTTGGCTCGTAGCTCAGGAAGCAGCAGGTGGCTGTGTGGCCCTGCAAGCTGGCAAAGCTGGCAAAGAAGGGCCAGCATTATGCTGAGGGCAAGTCTACGTCTACATGGCCATGATAAGACCTCTGGAATGATGGGGCATGGCTTGCAATAAAATTCAGCACACCCATCCTAGGCAGGATAACCATAAAAATGCCGGATTCACTTCGCCTTGCTCTGCTAATTTTCTGAAGCCCATGCAACATTTATCAAAAACCACCTTTGGACAGGCTTGCCTGGATGGTTGTCCGCTTCTGGTCAACGCCACCAAGAGCAATCCCGGGGTGTGCAACTTCACCGCACACATTCACACTCACCACTGTAGGCGGCGGGTCAAATGCCGCCGAAATCTCTGCCACACCAACCTCGTCCTCAGCTTGCGCAAACCATGATCTGCACGTGAAGATCATCGCTCCGAACGGCTTTCCAGCGGGCATTGGCAGGGTCATCCGTGCACCCATGTACCGCTGAAGCATGAGCTGTAGCTCTTGTCGGCCCTGTCTTTCGTCGAAGACATGCACCTGGCATCTCACCCACGCGGGGCCAACGCGGGGCGGGATCCTCTTTAAATTCTCTCGGCGGATCACTACGGAGCCACTCGGAAGAGGTTCCAGGGATCGGACCAGCCAATCACACGACGCAGCCTGCCGCCGCAAAGACGAATAGGACGGTGCCCGCTCTGACGAACCCCACACGTCATCGTAAACTTTGGATTTATCTGGATCCAAAGGCTGCGGTGCTTCCAGGCCCAGAAGATAACCTCCCTTTTCAATGAGGAGCTGCTGCACTGGGCTTGCTTGTCGACACACTGCCTCCAGCATCTCTGTTGCGGGATGGGCTTCCTTCTCGTCTTCTGACTGCATCATTTTGATCACCTGGCCATCTGCTGATGTCACTCGCAGCTCTGGGCCAACCCTGCTGCTGCCTGAGCACACCATGCTATGGATGGATACGTCACGGGGCAGGAGCAAGCCGGCCACGCCACAGGGGACATCGTCCGCACTACTGATCCCTCGCCGCATCTCGTAACCAGCTACAGCAACACGCCTGCGCGACGGCAGCAGGTCTGCACAGACTGCCCCACATTTCACAGCATTTGGCAGCGCCAAGTCTAAAGCACTGAGGACTGTCCCAACCACGTACTTGGATGCGAGAGGATCGATGAAAAGCAGGATCCCTTTGGGACGGGCTGTCTCATCACCCTCGCTTACTCCCAAGTATTCTCGCCATGCTCGAGGTAGGGCTGGCTCCTGCGCACCTATAACACGCGTGCGACCCTGGATCTGGCAAACCAGTCCTGATATTTCCTGCAGCTCCTTTTGTCCCACGAAGAAAGGCTTTGCACCAGGAAACTCCGTTGTCGAATCGCCTAGGTGTTTCTTCCGCAAAGGCTGCTGCACAACTATCAGTTGTATGACTGGTTTTTGTTTGCCAGAATGGGCGCGGCGGTGATGATCTGTACCTGGACCTCCACAGCCATTCACTGCGGCTCCAATGAAAGCGCCACTGGTGCCCAGGTTGCGATCTAGTGTCATGGCGATGTCAGTTACTGACACATCCTGATGGCCACTGACATAGGCCACGCCAAAGTCCCAACATTGAGACGGGCGACTGCGCAGCTGGTACGAAGCTTCTGCCGTAACCTCTGCAACTGCCGCTCTCCAATCTGCCTGGGTCGACAGGACCGTGCAAAAGAGGGGCTCCTCGGTCACATCGTTAGCACCTTTGATGAATTGGGATGCGGAAGCGCGAAGACAAGTTCGTGGACCTCTGTGACGACAAAGCTTGCGGCCAATGGCAGCAGCTGCAGCGGTTACGCATGCTGTGCCCCGTCTCCAAGCTTGCAGTCGCGCATGGCACGTGTGGTCACTGGAGACATGTCTCTCCGTGGAAGATTCGACCACAGCTACGTTGCATTTGCAACGTGGAGTCAAATAGACAGGGAGCATGCTACGCACTTGATGGCCGAGGAGAGGCTGCAGGGAGGAAATATATACACCTTTGCATCAGCCTGTTCTCTCTCTTGCCGCTTCGCGACACTACTCACGTGCTTCTGGCGACCCACGGCATACTACGGCATTAATATGGCAATCTGTGAAACATCAACCCGCATCAAGCCGCTTAGCGCCGTGCCTTTGCCAGTGCATGCCAGACTCCAGCCTTTCGTAAGCCATCCCACAAAGGCTGCAGCTCCCGCTGCTCCAAGGCAGCCTGCACTCTGCAAGTACATTCCACCATAAGGCTGCAGATACCGGGCTTGCCTGGAACGGATGCCCAAACTCTATGTTGGCATTCACCAGGTCAAACTCGCCTAGGAGTCTGGAGTACACCTCCTCAAGGCAGCAGGGTGATCAAGCCGTCATTGGCTTAAATGTATGCCTTTCCAGTGTTTGAAACATGGGCAGAACTGCCTTCTTGTGTTGCCCAACAGAAATAAGAAGTCAGCAGGAACGACTTGAACATGCTTGCAGCTTCAAAAGCTACCCCTCACCTGTGGAAGGGGATTTTAGTTAACTTCAGGAACTTGCTGCTTTCCTGTAGCTTTTCCAGACTCATCGTTGTGCACTTGGCCACGTCTAGACCCTCTCCCACGAGCCCACGAAACTGCTGCGGAAGCTGGCAGCTGGCGCTACCCAGCAACATGCCTTCGTGGCCGAAACTCTCCTGGGGCAACCGTTTGCAACCCCTGACATCCCCGACCTCGTTGAGTAGAATCTCGATTCCTGGTATGGCTCGTGCAGGGAGCAGCACCTGCACTCAGCCGCATTTGGAAGCATCAGTCCATGTGCCCACCCTGCACAGACACACGCATGTGCCTGCAGCAGCAGGGCCCATGACTCTGCAATTATGCGATGACGCTTGTGCCGCCTGCTGAGTTGTGAAGACCGATGAGTTTGAAACAACGAGGAAAACAGGCCACCTCCTGGAAGAGGCCAGTTTGTCCCACCTTGCGTTTTCACAGACGAGGAGCTCTGCCTAGGCACCGCAGAGGCCGCATCGCTGGCAAGTAAAGGCTCTCAAGCTGTGTCTGCCACCACTGCCCGCCTTGCTGGCATGTCCCAGTACAAGACCTGAACAAGGAGCGAAAGTGCGGACGGCCAAGCAAAAGAGTTAAGACAGCTGCGCCTGACACACAGCCCAGGACAGTGCCGACGCAGCCAGGAGAAGATTTTCCGAGTGTTGCCGGGCCTTGGGCAGCACAACAGCAAAGCGCAACGTGGCCCAGACTGCTGTGAGCGCATCGCGGACTCGTATTTTGACGCTCTGTCCTCTCCCAAATCTTGAGCAAAATACCGTCAGAGTGAGCAAAGAGTTGCTGTGAAACTCAGCTGATCCCGGCTCAGTACTGGAGCTGTACTTGAAGCTGTCCAAGCTGCTTTGAGTCGTAAGGCTTCTCCTGGCGAAAGACCTTTCAAGCGCGAACAGCTTCTCCAGAGCCTCCTTCAAGGGAAGGCACACCTGCATGCTGTTGTGAACAGCCAGCCCATCAAGTTGCTGAAGAAGTTCATCACGTCTGCTGCATCGCCTGCGGCTCTTTCCTTCTTGAACGCCCATCCCCTCCATGCCGCAATGCTCTTCATCTGTGAGAGCCCCCCAACTGCTGGAGATCGATCTTGCAGCTCTGCGTTCATCTCATTTGCGCAAGTTGAAAACGATCCCAACCTCAGATCTACGAAATGCTCAAGGAAGGACAAGATTGATTGGCCTGGGCTTTGTGATGTCTCATCAATGCAGGCACAGCTACTGAGAATCGAGTGCCACGCACTTCTCTCACCTCACGTGCGCTGGTGAAACTGTCAGTTTCTGCGTCTGACCGCAGCAGGTTCACAAGCGTCTGCTTTTACCCTAGCAGCATGAGCTGCGCACTCCATGCTTGAAGTCTGCACCGTGCACGGCGGCACTGTTAGCAGCGAACACCGTCACGTCACCCTCGCTGGCCCGCACTTCTTCAACCTGCAAACAATGCGCCAAGGCAGCTGAAGCTGCTGCTGCTGAAGCTGATCATCAACCTGTTCAGTCTTCACATTCTTCACGAAGAATTCGCCACCGCTGAAGTCTCTTCCTTCGGCAACCATATCTCTCCACGACACTTGCAGGCCTTGACCGAAGGTTCGCACACACAGCGCCTCGTCTGCTCAACATCACCACGGCCTGGTACGGGAAGAACAATGAGCCGTAAGGATCCTGCCAAGACACGCAGGAACCACCCACATCAGTCATCCTGGAACCCCCATTACCATTGAAGGGTCCGACTTCCCTTCCAGAACTATGGTTCTGGAGGCAGGAATCAGAGTAATGAGATTGCAGTGGTTTGACTCAGGCGCCCATGACGTACTTGCGTTTTGGGATGATGTATTGAGGTGTCCTGCAGGGTCCCTAAGCTTCAAATGGAGGAGCAGCATGTGGAAGACCAAGTTTTGTCAGCGTGCGATCTTTGACTTTTGCATGTGTTTTGGTTGCGGGACTCTTTGGCAAGCCCGTGTTACAACCGATCAGATGACAATTGCGGATAATGTCCACCAACCAAGAGCGCAAAGTGAACAAGAAGCCCGAATGCACAATGCTGATTTCTTCATGGTGTATCTTTGCATATTTAGGGACTGCTCGGCTCGGCTTGGCCGGCTTGGCCTGGCCGGAGGCTTTCAGCCTTTGGCACAGTATTCTGGCTTGGAGGGGGGGTAGGGGAAGGAGTCGCAACTAACACGATCATTGTCACTGCCCTTATGGCTATCACTACAATCGTTCTCGTCATCAGCTACATCATCGCAAGCGTTCTCATCATCTTCCCTGCCTGCTTCACACATGCATGAATGCTATTGTGGTCGTTGAAGTAGGAGTAACTGTCGCATGTAGCAGTTGTTGCACTAAGTTACGTCAGAGTCCAGTAGTAGAAGCAGTAGTAGTAGTAGTAGTAGTAGTAGTAGTAGGTCCGCGTCCCGTTTGTGGCGACACATTTTTGTGTACTTCGCATGTCTAAGGTGCCACGC